ACGACCCAACACGCTCGCGTGTACCTACATGAACGGTCTTTCTATATGGCAGCACGTATGAATGAAAGAGCGGCCAACGAAGAAAGGAACGAAGGGAGTCGCGTGATGGATTCACGTGTACCACGGCTATCGACCAAACCACCACGCACGAACGCATTCTGAATTTCATACGCAAGCCTGTTAACAGAGTTTTGCAATTTCCAATGAAAATTAGTGAAATCTTATCGAACAGAGTTTTCTCTTCGAATAACGTCCTAAGCAGTCAGGGTGTCGCCAAAAGTGAAACGTCCGACCGCTCTTTGTTCGGCTATAACATTGTTTTCTTGGGAGAAAATCGAGAATGATTGAACGATACAATAAGAGAAAGTTCGTGACACGAAATACGCGCTCGTATTTAAGCGGGTTGAACTCGTTTATATGGGTACACGGTTGGATCAGGGTGATTCATGTAATCACTGGTAATCCTTCGTAGAATCCCCTTTAATGCATGTGTGACGTTTCCAGCCGATTGGCGGAGATTTATCGAGGGTCGATTGGTACCTTAAAAAGGGGCCTGTCCAGGAGCGATCTCCCGTTTCTCGGCCAACACGCTCCAAAAAGCCCCGCCACGCTAGTTTAGTCACGACGTACGAATTAAAGTGTTCTTACAGCTGTCAGTGAACCGTGAATCTTTATACGACAGGCTTCAATAATTTTTTTTTTTTTTGACTTCTTTATCCTACTCCTTTCTTATCCGACAATATTGCCCGCTCGATGGCATCGCACAAAACGGGCATAAATTGTCCAATCGACCAACTGGGGCCAGAAATAGCAGATAATGATGACATCTAGGGATATAAAAATTAAATGCGGGTCCGGATCGGGTGTTTCGCATTCATTTCGAGCACAATGTCCCAGTTTACGAGCGGCGTGGCGTCGTAATATCCAAGACACCCTAGCAGGGTATACGCGGGGACCGAGCGGGCCAGAATGGGCCTGTTTCTTCGTGGCGGCAGGTAAAGTGGGGGATACGGCACGCGTGCCACGCGCCCGAACTCAGCCGACCGTCCACGGAGACTCACGAACGGGCCCCGATACAAATGATAATAATCTCTCCGGAGTGACCCTGCCGGGCATATTCCCCACCACGCCCCGGGCCCAACATGATACGTATCGGGTGTTGCAGCTGCTGTTTCTCCCGTCGCGGGCAACCGGGCCTCTTCTTTCTTTCCTTCTTCCTTCCGCTCCTTTCCTTCCTTCCTTCCTTCCTCTCGTGCCTCTTCCTGCTTACTTACGCGGCCTGATTTCTCGTTCAGGGCCGAGCAACTTCCTAAACAAATAACTTGTGCGCCGAATACGGGCCCTTGTCTCGGTTCCGAGTTTCGGCAGCATCCTACCGAGAGGTAGTCCGTCGTACCTGGTGACAATTGACGAATTAATATTTGTCTATCGATAAGATTGTAAAGTGTCTATAATCTAGGACCCATACTTTGGGTCTGTCGAATAAATAGACTGTGTTTTAATTAGCTCAGTTGTTTTGCCACTGTTACTGTGATGTTCTCAAAACTTTTATAGTGACCCCAGAGTATAGGACTCGAGCGTGACCAATTACCTCGTCGATCCCAAAGGTCCCAATATCTCCGGTGCATCCCATTTGTAATCAGTAGCGTGACGAACCTTCGTAACCGCAGCCTGCCAAAACAAATGGTGGTCGCGCTCGTTGTCCTCCGTTAACAAAGACCGTTTCCAAGGATCGTCTCCCCCGCGTACCAGTTTCCATTCCGCCATTGAAAAGCCTGGAAAAGGAAGAAAAAGCGACAATGGCGTGGCACTCGAGGCGGAGAATAAGGAAAGGGGCACGTCCTAGGAAAAGCATCGATTTGCATCTGACTGCGCGTTACCTGCGGCACAACAGGGAAGAAGAGAGAGAGAGAGAAGCACGGCAACGAAGAAGAAGCGGCATCTGTTCTCCGCTTTTCTTTCGTCGGGATGAGGCAACAACTGGGCTGCGAGAGAAAGATAGGCTGCTTCTTCTGCTTCAAACGAAACGTATCTGACGATGAACGACAAAAGGGCGAAGAAACAGGAGAGATGGAGCATCGGTGCTCGACCTTCGTGGATCCTTTTCTTTTTTTCTTCTCTTCGTCAGCAGCTGGTTACCCCAGAAGATCATTGGAAATTAATAGGCCTCTATAGAGTGACCGCACAGAAGGGAGGCGATCCTTCGTAACGGGTTGAAAAGATGCCTCGGAGATGCCATACCGTTCCTTCTTCGCCGACTCTGCAGAATGTGCATGCCTACGAAAAAAAAAAAAAAAAAAACAAATGTGCCCCAAAGAATTTTGCGGTACAGCTGGAGTATCCCCTAATTTTTCAACGTATCAAATTATTTCGCTCGTTTTTTCTCCATTTTTCCCTTTGTTCAAGCTGTAAGGTATACCTGGCTCGAACACCGTTCTCTGGAAAGAAGAAACGAACATTCTTAAGTCGACTGCCCGAAAGAAGTTCAACGATCGTCCGCGATATTTTTCCCAAACTGTATTCGTTCGAAGCGCATTCCGTAATTCAGTCACATTCCGGTATCGTCGAGAAACACAGGTTTCACCTGAAAACTTTCCGTAGCCAGCGGTGAATTTTTGTCACACGGTGAACAAAAAACCAACAGTGATTTCCATTTACCTACACCGTCGCGTACCACGGGAAGCTAACGGAGAAAAATAGCCATCACGATTCGCTGGAACACGTAGATTTCGGAATGAACGGCCATACGTAGCTCGGTATTATTCGAAGGGTTCATTGTCGGTGTCTCAGACAATGCTTCTTTTATTTTCACGGGAAGACAAGATTTCGTAAGCCACGAGCTAGCCTTTTTAACATTCCTCTCTAAATATTCTGCAAAGTTACTCGAATATGCTAGAATTATCAATTTATTTCTTGAATGTTAGAAAAAAATAAAAGACCCTTAATTTTCCAAATTTTCAATTTGATTTAAATACTTCGTTTCACGAATTTCACGAATTTCACGAATCGTAATCTATCGACGCACTTGTGATTGTATCGTAGAAAAAAAAAAATCACGGATGATAAAGAAAAGTTGCCACGTATCGGAGGTAGGCGTCGATCGGCGTCGGTGATTAAATCGACAAGAGAGTCAGCTATGGTGGCTGGCATTTTTACCATAACAATGCACAGCTTCGTCATAGAAGTCGCGCGAGTATTGTCCCAGCATTTCCCACACGCGGCTTCGACGTGACGCGAATTCATCGCGCTAATGGGAGTGCGTCCCGCGTACGGGCGCAAGCCGCTCGAAGCGCAACCACGTTGTCCCTTCCTTGATTTATCGTCTCCTCGTCGATCCGCCACGGCGACACGCTCACCTGGCTTTATGCTAATTGACAAATTAATTTCCCGGTAAACAAGAGGAATAAATAAATTCTTATTCGAATCCTTACGATAAGATGGTCACCGCCGGAAAGCTGTGGCGTATAAAATAATTTCTCTTCGTTCCAAGGTGAAAGATCAAGAAAAAAATATTTAAGCAATGAAGATAAATAAGGCGTGGAAGCGATCCATCTTCTCGCTTCATTAGATCGCGTTCATCCGTTTAGCGAAATTGACCAACTGACGTGGCTCTACAAAGAGAATTATCTTGTCAGCTGCCCGACTGACCCTTGGTTATCCACCCTCCTTTTCTGTGACCATTCGTCAGCTCGAATTTTAATTAACTCTGCTCGCCGGTTAATTCATTTAGCCTCTCGCCCGGCCCAGACGAAGAAACGATTCTATAGCTGGCTGAAATTTCACGGTTTCGTGCCTCGTTAGGTGATTTATCGGGACTAGGACAATCGAAATTTAATCGAAATTTAATTTACTACAGCGGAAGAGAGATAGAACAAGAAGAGCAGAGGGATGGTCGTGCGCGGGAAAGAAAATAAGGAAGGAAACGGGAGGACCACTTATTTTAGGCCTCTGTTCGCAGAAGTAAAGTGAAATACACGCTGTTAAGCGTTCTTACCACCACGTGTGAAGGAAGAAGGATGAAAAACACAAGGTGGTTGAGTTGTATCGGTGGCCCTCAATGTAGCGGAAGCCAAGGTGATTGCAGCCTCCTTGTACGGGCCACTTCCGCCCTCTACATCCCTCCTTCTTCCGTGAATATTCCCACACAACGCTGCTGCTCTCGTTTCCTCTTCCAACCTCTTCTTTTCTTCCACGAGCCTGATACAAGAAAGAAATTCTTTTAATAAATATTCAACTTGTTTTCAAATAAGATATATCATAAAATAATTACCATATTAGTTAAGGGTTAAGATAACTAATAAGTTATTATAATAATAATCATATTAGGTATCTTTGTTTCCCAGTCGATAGCCAAATGGATGGCAATCGTAACTTTCGCACGGTATCAAGCCCTTCTTGAGGGTGAAATCAAGGTTCCTATCGAAATTCCCTATCTACCCTCCTTCGTTCGTGGGCGTGGAATCAACCACCCATCTGACGATGAATCTCATCTGTGGGTTCTGCCTACCAAACGTGTTCCATACCGCAGATTGGACCTTCTGTTTTCTAATTTTACACTTTGCTCGAGCAAATTTTCTTCGACTCAATCTCTTGGAACAAACCACCCTATCCCTGTTACCAGCTTGGTCAACGAACAAGTGTCGCGAAACAGTCGTTGAACAGAGAGAGAGAGGAGACTGAATGGAAGCATAAAAAACGAAAACAGAAGTAAAAAGCTCAAACGAGGCATTCATAACATCCGGCAGAGGAACGTCGAAAAGACTGCCGGCAAAAATTCCTCTCCTCCCGCTCGTACGGCAACGTTACCGAGAAGAAGTACGAAATCCAGTTTTAAAACACAGCGCTGTTTACACCGTGATCGCGGATCCTTTCGAATTCGAATGCGGGACAGGAAGCGGCAGCTTCCCTCGTTCTCAGAGCCCGCTACGTACCCACAGGAACGACCTTCCCCTCCCACTATTATTCGTACATGGGTGGAGAGCCGAAAAAATGGCGCGTAATAAACACAAAAGTGCTTCCTTCCGTTCCGTCTGTAAATCTTGCATCTGGCTCTCGAAGCCGCCGATCGACCGGCCACTCTCATCTCCGATACCCCCCCGTCGATCCTTCGTTTCTTCTTCCTCATCCTCGAACTTCCGTCTCTTTTTCATCCTTCGGGCTGGAACTACCTTCTGGCACGCAAAAATACGCCGGCTGTTTGGGATGCTGGCAGATATTGTTCTTCGGGATTATCTGGTCTGTGCTAGGAATGGCATACTTTTTGGGGTACCGTCTGTCGAGATATCAAAAAATTTCATTCTTGACCAATGGTCATTCTATTCACAATTGTAAAATAATCATAGCCGAGCTCTGTTAATGAATAATTAGAAAATTTATTCCTTAACTCCTAATTAATATTCAGCTTCGAAGACAATACATGCATTCCAGGTAGAAGAGGCCAGTGATTCAAGGGTTGAAATTTCATTCACGATGCCTTCGTGCGTGGTCTCCTCGGTGTTTGTCTCATCTCGTCCGTGTATTTACAATTCACACAGCCCGATATCGCTGTAAGAAAACATATATAGAAGCGACGCGTGAGATTGTGTTAGGGTCTCTCTCTCTCTACGTGGGACAGGCAAGAATAAAGAGGCACTACGTGCCGGATTAGTTCCTCCCGGATTTAATCTCAGTGTTTGAGCAGGAACTCGAACAATTAATAATGAGACCTTCACCGAATGCCCGTCCTTTCAATTCAAGGGACAGGATGTCGTCGTAGTTCTCCTTGTCCTTGTCGTCGTTGTCGTCGCGACGTCTCGCATCCGCGATTGGGAATCACCGTGGATACTACCTTCCCATGTTTCTTCGGTGGCGTTGAAGAACAGGGGAGATTCAATGTGCCGCTGCTGTTGCTGCTGCTGCTGCAAAAAAAAAGGAAAAAGGCGTATCTGAATTCCAAATGAGAAATTTATTTCTACAGAGATGCTTTAAGATGGCTCATCCTTGGATTCCAACTGCAAAGAACATAGCATTTGAAAATTGAAATATTCAAAAATATAGATTGCACGTTAGACTTAAGGGAAAGTTAAGAATTTCTTAGAAATAAAGTTTGCAATTCACGGACGGATGGTGCCTGGTTGAGCGTAGGTTACTTTCAAAGAATCCATCACTAGGTGACACCTCACGTGCACCAGTGATCGCAGCTGAGAATGAACAATGAAATTTCGCGTCGCTATCGACGGCTGGATGGAAGGAAAAGTCGAGCAGACCGTGGCCATCTGAATGGTGGATAGTAGAGTGGTCGTATATCGAGAAGAAGTAGGCAGGTCCCACGGGCAAGGAAGGGCCGAGGCACAGGGCAGCCGCAGCAGCAACAGGCAAGAAGAAGAAGAAGCTGCAGCCGCTTTTTGGGGCCCTTTCTGCTCTCAGCTGCCGGACCTTCCCACGCTACGCGTATGCACCTACCTACTACCTACCACCTACCCACCTTACTACCTGACTCCCCTTAACTTTGTGTTGGTGATCGTTTAATGCTGGCTGTGTCTGGGTAACGGCTGTACGAACACTCGGAATGGGATCCGAAGAAGTCTCAGCCGGTGTCTTAAGCCAGTGTCATAAAAGGTCCATGTAATTATTCAATTCGGGAATTAATCATTCCTCTCTTTCAATCTCCAATCTGTTAAGTAATAAAAATACAATTATACCGACTACTTAAGCAACTTGTGCGATTTTTGAAGAAAAAGGTCAATTAGTTCCACGCGATGGTAAGATTGAGAAAGGAAATCTGCTGTCGCAAAAAGAACCTGCCTTTCATCCTCGAGTTTCGTTCCACGTGAACGAAGCCACGTTTCTCGAGTTTCTTCTGTTTGCTAATTTAAGGGGAATAGGTCCGATCAAACGGTGTATCCCGAACGAAACAAAGAACTTTCTTGAATCGAGCATCAGGCAACGCATATAAATGTGCACGTGAGCTGAGTTGACCTACTGCTCACCTGCTGCACGTACGTACACCGGCTACCAGCCAGTGGTCCAGCTACTCATCTGTCTCTCTTTGAAAGCTGATGGCCTGCGAAACGATGCAACATTGCGATGTTTTAGCCAGGTGACAAACGAATTGACAAAAATATTTAACATTAGTATTCAAATTCTATAAAGGGGTTTTGTAACTTGAATTTTACTCGGAGCTTCCGCGTACGACTGCACGAAATTAATCAATTACCAAGCAAAACCGCTTTCCTGCCACGCTACATCTATTCGTACATCGTCGCATGCTTCACTTCTCTCCCTTCATGCTCCAATTCGTTCGTACGTTCGTTCCGTGAATAATAGAAGTTACCTGAATTTACTAGTCTACTGATTCCTGCATAACTGCGCGTAAGGAAAGATCCGATCTGAAAAGAAAATCGTAACGTTCGGTCGTTAAAAAGACTTTAATTATTGCCAGCGTTACCGATCGTTAACGACTGTGAATGATTCCTGTTTCGTTATCATTCGATTTCCAAATCGAGGAAAGAAAACGTCGACCAGATGAATTTGCAAGTCAACGGTCTGCGGTCGATTTATCGCAATCTAATTACGATAACCTAGTAGCATTGTTTCTAATTAGAGCCGCTTTCGCGATAGCGATCGTTACACTTTCGCTTGTTTTCAAAATTTCGTTCGACCAACAGCCAATTAGACGTAAGCGACTCGTTTTGCTTCGTTGCGATACGAATATACTTTTGGACTGGGCCGTTCACCGTTTCCAAACCATCAGGTGGATGCAAGGAGGGCTTCCGATAGTAGGGTAAAAAATGGAGACAAAATGTAGAGAAGAAGAAAGGTGTAAGCCGAGTAGAAACATCCCACGGTTTTCGAGGTTCACCAGGGTTGAAAGGAATTACATTATCGCGAAGCGTTTGGGCGTGGGAGCAGCCGAACCCTGCGCGAGGAACCGGCTTAAGATGCAACCCGTTGCACCCGCGACCTACCTTCACCGTTTCCTCTTCCACCTTCCCGGTTGTTAGTTCGAGGACTCCTTTATCTTTTCATCCACCCTCGAGAAAAAAAACACCCCTGCACTCGGTGGAGCCCTTTGAAAACGCTTTGTACGCTGCCGGGCACCTTAGCCTTCTCTCCCTCGAAGGGGAAGGTGGCTCCCTCCATACACCACAGTTACTATATGCTTAATTTACACGAGATGAGTAATTAGCAAGGTAATCGGGATGAATATTGCCTCCTTTTTAGAAAAGGGTAACGCATGCTTCTCTTGGATAAGGGGAAGATAGATACCATTTGCCTTGGCTCTTAGGAACCCAAGATGATGTTAAAACCTGCAAAATATTGAAGAAAATCAAATTAGACGATTTTAATAATAAAATGGATAATATTTGTCATGCCCAAAGTAGCAGCATGAAATGACAATAGCAGGGGGGTGACAGATAGTCGTGACAATCTGTCCATTTTCTACGAGATATAAGAACGGTTGCATCACCTGCGCAAACTGAACGAATTTATACATACACGCGAACTGTTGTATTACGAAAGTTGTCGCCCGAGTTTCCTTCTGTTCGCGTGCTGCTGCTCCTCTCTCTGAATCTTGCTGATAATACTGTACACAGCTTCGCGAAAGTATAAACAACTTTCCAATGGGTAGCAGAGCAGCAGCTGTGAAAGCAGAAACTTTTTAACTCGTCTCTCGCAGACATAACAGGGGAGCTTTAATGCCAGTTCCATAGAGAATAGTATAGGGTGGATTGTTATTGGCTCGCTTTGAGACTTTCATGGGAGACTTAATACTGTTATTTTTTATTTTATTCATTAACACCTTGAGACTGCATATTTCGTGCAATTAAATGGTTCTTGTAACGATAGACCTTTTTATATTCGAACTAAGAATGGAAGAGATACCGTTGTCTTTACGTGGTACTCGAGTTCCACAAAGTAGCAACCTGTTCTCACAGCCGACAGGTATAACGAAAGGTAATTGCAGCGAGATCAAGGTAATTATACGTCTACAAACTGCCAACGATTATTTTATCGTTGGGCTAATAAGCTGGACTCGATGAACCGTTTCCAATGATTCTGTTGCTGTAATTACGGCTGCGATCTATAATTCGTACGCGGATTAAGCGTCAATTATGTTGATAGAAATTATGTTATAATCCGTATCTTAGCTTGCCATCTCAATTTTACCATAACTGAAATAATCTTGAGCTTTTCCTCTTTCATGTCCATATAATTATAAGGCAGTCGCTTGGATCTTCTTCATCGTTTCCTGTCTAAACAGAGCCATCGTCGAGGCACAAACCAAAATGAATAGCCAGCATAGCATTAAAAACACGTACCATTTTCCTGGAAACTTTCTACCAAAATGACAATACGACAGTCCAGGTCAGCGGGCAGAGTCAACGGACAGGAAGGTGGGATCGATACTTCTGGATGGAGTTCTCAAAACATCGCGTGTCCGTCGATGAATGCGTTCATCAGGTGTTGCCCGATGTGCAAAGTCGCCGACGCTGGAGTTTCTCTGGAAAGAAGGGGAATCTGCATAGTTCGTGGGGTCCGCCGCGAGGGGAAGTAATCACAATGGGGCACGTACCTGTACACGGCCCCTAAGGAAGAATGCGGGGTGCCACACCCTCTTCCTCCCTGCTCTGTCACCTTCTTACCTTTTCGCGACACAACGGCTCGTCCCCCATTAGCGACTCTCGCCGTTGAAGAAAACTTTGAAAATTCGAACGAACCTAACCGGTAGATGCTGCCCATTGTACCTGTATGCATAGAAAAAGAAGGACCAGTTTTCTAGTTCCATCCCTGCTGAGATTTGGTTAACGATTTTGCGAAGGTAAAGTCAAGTCTCCCGACCATTTTTCTACCAACGCTATTACACCCTATCGATGTAGCCTATACTTAACCATTAACACCCAGCTCTGATTATCCCCTCCTTCGCCATTACTTCCGTGTGAATCCATGCTCTTCCCTCCACGCGTTTACCACAGCATCCATCAACAGTTGCTGCATCAACACGCAGCACCCTGTCCAGTTCGAAGCAAGAAATCACCTCGAGCCGAGCCACGATGGCTGACAATTAGTCTCGTATTTGGCAGAAGGTGGTTGCCAGAAGTCTTCGAGGATGTCTAACGAGGACGTTCCTATAGTCGAGCATGCCTGTTGGACGGAGAGGCGACTAGGGGTGGCGCAGAGACGCAGATGGTGGAAATCTCAGGGAATAAAGGAGGGAGCAGAACAGAGAGGGAGGGGTACGAGGAAGGTTTTTTTCGAAGACGACGATGGGGAGACACGGAAGGTGGGTTAGCACCTGGTGGTCGTCGGGGCCGGTGGTAGCGATGGTGCCTTCCAGTGGTGGTGGTGTTGATGCACGATGCAACAGATGCTCCCAGAGAGGAGAGAAAGAGCCTCTGTTTCTCTGCATGTGCCATCTTTGAAGGATGCTTCTTCTTCCAACGACTCTGTACGCGTATGTGGAGCACGTACAGGTTTTCGTCCCTTTATTCCTGCGTCCCGGAAATAATCTCTGGAGATTATCGGCGAACGGGGAACGCGACTCGTGGGGTGCAGCTTCGGGGGTCGTAGTTGGGTTTTGCACGATTCCTTTCACGGCAGGCTGATGGACACCGAAATGAAATGCAAGTGAACAGAGGGATACAATGTCGAGACAAAAAAAAAAGAATCTTTGTTTGATTTTCACGAAACCTTCACCTGCGATGTATACAAAAAACGATTTGCGGTCGAAGGCAAATCGAGGAAGGCGAACCTTTTCCACAGGTACGGTGAAAACTGATGCCCGTGGAAAATCCTGGATCAGCTTCGATGTTGCGTACGCTGAAAGCGATGGAAAGCGGATTCTGCAAACAGATTCTGCAAACACTCTGCACGGACGTATTTCCATCTTTCATTTTCCAACCGGAAGAGCTTGCAGGTGCGAGCACAGCTTTCTTCCATTCTAAAATTAGAAATTATCTATTCTTAAAGAAAAGTTATAAAAGTTTTCTAATAAAAGCCTCGCCCCGAACGTTCCACGATTTCAATCCATTGATTACCCGATTCCGAGGCATCGATCGATTCACGGATTCCTTGGAAACGTTCCCGTGCAGCAACGAACGATGAAAGCAGGAAAACGAAAGTGGAAAGGTCGTAAACTATGCCGGAACCTGGCGTCTTCCTAGAGAAAGGGTTGCCAGGATCTTCCTCTTCCCCCTTTTTACTGCACGCCGTCTGGCACCGAGAATAAGTCTCCGGTGCTTAATAAAGGCTCGCGTAGGGTTGTTCAACCCTCTGCCGTTGGCATGACACGGGATTTTCAAAGTTTCTTCGCCCTATTCCTCTTTTTTCCCTCTTTCCTGGTTCCGACGTTCCTTTGGAGAAGAACACCGGTCGAGAAAGGGGTGAAAAAAGCACAGACTGTTGAGTTATCGTTACTTGGCTTCTTTGTGGATCTACGTCGTTTGGATTAACTTCCTGTCACATTTCACGGTTGGAAAATTGAGATCAATATGCAGACGGTATTGAAACTATCATGTCTAATGGTGAATTTTTTAATCCAATACCTTAGTTTATTATTTTGAATTGGTGTAGGTATAAGACGTTAACGTACACAGGGTTTTGGTGGCTGTTAATCATCAGGAAGAATTCATCTTTTGTGCCAACACGTTTCATTCTTCTTATAAACACCCCTGACGGTGGATCTTTTGAATTTTAGATCCTCCCCTATGGATCGTCTTCCTTACGCAAACGACCCGCTGAAATCGCAACGGTCGTTCCAACAGAAAGAGGACTGGGTCAAGGGAACTAGAAGAGTCCAGGTATGGGCAGGTGTCGATGACTCGTATGGTCTGACTCCAGGACAACACCAACGATTCGAAGGACAATTCTTAACGAAAAGAATTGCGATTATAATAGTGGACAATGTCAAAATAGAAAAATAAGAGAACTATGATTTTAAGAATTTAACCTTCTTATAGACATTTGCCTAACCACGTTTTGCAATTATAAAATGTTAATTGCGAGTACGGTCATACGTAAATAATGGAGTACAAGGAAATCACAGAGATTCATTATAGTGAGAAACGACGTGGTCGGTGGTTGAAGAAGAACGACCCTCCGGTGTCCCCAAAGTTTATCCTGAACGCAAATCGATTCGTTCCTTCATTTCCATCGACTGTTGGCAACGACCGTTGGAACGATGACGACGAAGAAGAAGAAGATCGGGGGAAGACAAGAGAACCGTACAGCAGCCAGTCAGTGATTCAAAAGATTCTTCGTACACTTGGGGTGTCTCGCAGCTGTTCCTCGCCCTCTACCTCCCCGACTCCGACTACCGTTGCCCCGGAGCGTCTTCTTTCTTATCTGCAAACCGTGCACAACCACCGAATCTCCCAAGTGTTCTGATCATGGCCAACGTACCGATCTAACCACGAGACTCACCCTTTGGTGCCCTCCTTTCAGGTGTTCCATCGACGTCGAGACGCTTTCCGAGATCTTTTTCGACCTGGAAACGCGATAAATTAGTATTATTCGTGACAGAGCCTCTGGAAAGATGGATTAACCCTTTACAAAAACAGAAGGTCCACAGTTGGAGCCTACCTTGTGGTACGCTTATTAGATATACAGGTCGAAAAAATTGATAGACTTACTTTTCATAGAAATTGCAAGGTAAGGGAATAAAGCGAGAAGAAATGGGGCGAGAAGGTGAAGGCTTTCCAGAAGGTCTCGCAAGGGTGAAAACCTCGCGGGCAGGAGTCAGTCGTGTAGCGAAGCGAAAGCCAGTGAAAGAAACGAGTCGACCGGCTGGCAAACCCTTCGACTTGTCTCGATCGAAGCCGGCAATCTGTCGTCTTTACGCCCTCCTCGATACTCTGGGAATCTTTCACGAAATCTTTGCCAAATCCTTTCCTCCACGTTCCTACCATATCTCTCCCCTTTCGCGACGACTCCTTGCGTAATCCTGCGAGGGAAGATCGTAGATACGCCGAATAATTCCCCTGCGATCTTTTATCCAACTTGGAAAAGGTTTAACTCACGAAGTTGGAATTTCGTCGAAATTATATCATTAATATTTATCAGCTACTTGCTCCGTTTATAATTGATAGTTTTCACTGTAATAGATGCGTGAAATGTCTACGACAGAATGTTCACCTGCGATCGAACATCAACCTGCAATTAGACGGGAAATTGATGTATTATTAAATTGTAATTAGAATGTTCAGACTACGGTCCGCAACTTTGTATCATAAACGAGTACATTACCGTCGGTAGCCTGTCCGACACTTGGAAACATTATTAAGGCGACTGTGACAACACAATTATTGGATGTTTATGGTCAAAATATAAGCTTCGTACGGGTCTCGAATGACAGGTGATTCTGGAGTGACAGGTGTTTCTTTGATCTTTCGGCTGACTTTACGATTATCATCTTTTGATGCAAATGTCTGTGTTTACAAAATGTTTCTCCCGAGAAGATGCACATTCTTCGCCTCCCTGGAAAGGTTTACAGACGCCTGGTCCTCGTTTCCAGCATCCAGAAGTCGTAATTCATCTGGAATAAAAAGGTAATAGCGTGAAGCGAGGAGAATCGAAAGCCTGGATCGATTTGGCGATCTTTTAATCGGTTTAAAACACGAGGAAGCGTGGCTCGGTCGGATTTTCCTCGCTCGAGATACGCTCGTCTCGCCGAATCAATTCGGATTCTTTTTTCTAAACGCGTTCACCAGCTTACCTTCCGTTTTTTCCAGGCCCAGAGGAAGCCGATAGCCCAGGATTACTTCCGTGCCGAGGGGTGAACAGCTGGCTTAGCCTTCGACGAGGGTTTCCTTGCGAAGGAAATGACAGAAAAAAAGGCAGCACTGGGATGCGAGGAATATAAAATGCCAAGAAACGACGCGTGAAATCGGAAATCGCCATTACCGTCATTAATGATAAAAATTGGAAAATAATGGAAGAGAAAACGATCGTTAAACGAGGATTTAATGATCTATGCTAAATGCTCGCAACGTCGTTCCCCAAAAATGTTCAACGGGGAGAAATTAATGAAAAAGAAATGAAACGGGCAAGAAGAGGAACGATTCAACCGAAGGAAAGTGAACGATCGTGCCCGAGTTCGATGATCGCCCTTGTTGGACGTCAAGACGTATTCCATCGATAAAAATTCATCCATCGACTCACGTAGGGGCTTTTAATTAATCCGCTTTCTCAAACGGGCCTGTGTTACTGTTTCATTCAAAATATTACTGGTGAACAGCAAGAAAGTAAGTGTACGATGATGGCCACCGACAGTGGTCCTCGGCACGTGGCACCTGCCTGCACCGTTATTGGCCTCGTTAACGCGCCACGTTCCCTTCTAATGAATCGAGAACATTTTCCAAAAGCGACAACCTCTGTACCATCCTGGCCACACAGTTTTTCTCTTTCATCACCATGGGTGGACTCTGGGTCAATCCAACCTCAGGTTATAAATTGATGCCTCGATGGGTCTCACTCCGAGAGATTACTTTCCTTACTCCTTTTGCATATGTAATTGAAAATATTAATATTAGAAGTTAATGATGGAATTAGAGCTAGATACTAAGTTACATGGGTATGTTAAATAGCCTTAGTATATTGAAGTGGTAAAAAATTCATGGCTGCCGATTTGCGGTAGCTCAATTTCATAAGGGTAATAAAATCTTTCTTGGCAATCAAGGTAGGAAAGGGAGGCCACACTAAAGGAGGAACCTCGATCGGAAATCCGAGTTCCTCCTTGGTTACCTTCACTTTACATCTGGCACGATCGAGCCGCGACCAGGAAGACCCTCTTTTATCCAGCTGTCTCTCTCTCATACGGGTTCTCGATAGAGAGAAAAAAAAAATTACACGAGATTTATTGCACGAATCGTTCTATATCATTGTCCTTCCTCCACTTTCTTTCATCGCTCTGATTGCCATTTTAATTAATAATAAAATTATTCGTAATTAAGATAAATAACGAATCGTATGTATAGTGTAAGAATAAAAAAAAGACACCTTTTTTATAGATCATCCACTTGAGACTTTCGAATCCGAGATGACCCAGCTTCCCTACAAGTTTTCAGCTTGGATCATTGTGCCAGTTCACAATGGAGCCAGGTCGTGCATGACGAGCTTAAGATCGCGACGGATTTCCTTCTTGCAGATACAAAGGATCATCGAAGAGGAAGAGAAAAAGCAGGGATGTGGTGCGAGCACGTGCCATCTGCGAAGATCGAAAGTCTCGCCTGAAAAGAGGAGGGTGGAGGTAGGAGAGATGACTGCTGGCACGAGACCCGGTGAATGTTATAAAGGAAAAACTGCATCTGCGAAGGAGGAGAAGAAGAAAAGGAAATCGATGAAATAGAGAAACAGTCTGCACGGTGTTCAAGAAACATCACAATAAGGTATTACGATGTTGAAGAGCAGCGCCGGAGAGAATTTCAAGAACGAAGGAAATATTCAACATCTGTCGAATACGGGACACCGTCTCTGTGAATAGATTTTCATCTTCTAAGAAGAAATAAATTATTCATCGAGTATCGGTTACCGATTCGTCCCAAATGCACAGAAGTGTTCAAGGATGTCTCGATCCAAGATCAGCAGTGTTCCATCAGCTATTTTAGTCCCCGCTCGTGCAACATCTGTGAAAACGTGAAGCTGAAAAGTATCCGGTGAAGATGAGACGCGGTGATCAGGGAAAAATGAGAGGAAAAAGTAGAGGAAGAGAGGGTTCGACGGTGAGGTAGGTGGTTGCTCGAGAAAGGCACGGACGAAGAAACTCGGGCTGACTGCCTGTTAGAAGATGGCCTGTTGCCTGCGAGTCGGTGGTTCTCTTGTACTCCTGGGAAGTAACGGCAGATGTTCGGACTCGGTTGGCGCGTGCCCGCTGCCACTTGGCTGCGAAGAAGACGCTACCATCTGCCCCTTCTTCGCCTTCCCCTTCGATCTCACCCTCTTCCCTTCACCGCCGCGACGCTTACCTTCATTCTGGACGACTGATTTGCTCTTACACGGTCTACGATAATAATAGAAACATTGAACCGGTCTATCGTTTCAATCGCGATTCGTGGAAGGTATATTTACCCGGCGTAGTTGCAGCTTGGCGACCGCAGAAGCGGAAGGTACAGATGTCCTGCGACTGCACGGGGTATCGATAAGAGCTATCTTTTTCCTCCTAGGTATCCTAGATATGAGAGTCTGCAACATACATATAGAGATAGGGGGGTGAGCAACAGCAGTACTCTGTTTGCGTTGGGAACAGAGCCTGAAGAGGATGCGCGGAGTGAAGTGGACGAGTAGGTGGGATTAAGTGGGTGCTTTGATGGCGTTGATCGTGAAAAGAGGGTGAGGGAGCGATGACGGCTCGATTCGAACGATAGCGAACGTGATGGGTCAATTTCGATGGTCAAAAGACAGAAATTTGAAAAGTCCATTTGACTATGGACGTCAAATTTTTTTCTTAGTTAGTTCTACATGCCAGATATTTTGAAGCGTAATGAAAAGACTGAATCGAAGGATGATTCGAGCAGACTCGAAAGGAAAGGTGTTCCTTTACGGATTCGAACCTCCTCGGACGGTAGAAAACCGCAAGCAGGAGATATCGATCGGAGTAATCGAAAACTCGGGCAAATACGACACCAACGGATCATTATCAGCAGGCCATTGTAGTCGGGCACGAGTCCCTCGGATCAAGATCGATCGGATCAGCTTTGTTTCACCGTCTAATTTTACAGTCGCGCTCGTTTATTCGAATTTACACGAAACCACAGTCGAACATCCTTCGTCTCGCGTTCCCTATCAAGTTTTACTGAATGAACGTTATCAATGGCGAAAAACGATAGGCTTGCTATAACGTTAACCAGGAAACTGGAGATCTCCATTAACGTGGTCGTTAACTTTAAGTACACCGCATGTTTTGTAACAGGACCTAACACGGATGTACGATTCATCAACAGTCTTCATTGTCTGCGATGGAAAATTATGAAATAAACGGTTCGTTCGTTCAACTTTTAAAAGCTACTACTTATCTAAGCACAACGATTAGATTCTTCCTTTACGATTATCCTTTAATCCGAGGAAGACCGAACCACCCTACGTCTACTCCAATTTACATTCGACCATATTCGGCGCGAACGCCATAAGGTCACCGTAAAAAGCGCAGCGAAGAAACCCGGCGCGGCGTGATAATTGCTTTCGAATTCATAGTCGACAGAAGGTGGAGCGAATGCGCGAGTCGAATGCAAAACGTGAGAGCAGGTAAGGATTTCCTCCAACTGGCAGGATAAGCGGACGCGCAGATGGCGCGGATATTTTTTATTTTTCCTTTCTCTGACCGAACCGAGGAAAGGAAAATCTCTTTTCAGAAAGAGGCAACCAGGAAAACGTGAGACGTGATCCGGCTCGTACCGGTGTTCAATATGGTCCGCGTCGGAGGATTGGCCGCGGATAGGAGCGCAGAGGAAGTACGGCACGTGCCGGTTACAAAGAAAAACGCGGCGTAGAGGCAGCATCCGCAAGGTCGGTGCCATCTGTTGATTCTCTCGGTCTCGAAACCGAGCCCGTTCTGGCCCACTTCGGACCGATTCTCCTTTCCGGTAATTCCGATCTACAGCCTCGTCAGCGACCGTCGTCAGCTCACGTGCCAGCCTCCTCCACGGTCTCTAAGGTTTTACATTACCGTAGAACATCTGAAGAAGGCCGCGAGATGCGACACGACCGACAGCTTCGAACGAAGCTACTCCAACAGCTGGTTACCAGGGCAAGATCGCGTACGCGTGCGCTTTATCTTCGACGAGCCGTCCCGGAAACGATAGACAAGAACAGAGAAATGATCTTAATACCTGATCATTCACAGCAAGCCTAAGCTTGAAGCTTGAAGTATGATGAAAATAGAGGAAACAATAATGGAATAAAAAGTTTCCGAACAAAGCAGACCTCGAAACTCGTGCTCGATAGACAATTAAAACCGCAAACAGTTGTGCAGTGATGCATCTAGACGAGTGCAGCATCCATGAAGCAAGAACCATCTGCCGCTACCTTCCGACCATTTTTTTTGTTCCTTTTTCTATTTTCTTCATCTTGGTCGATCCGATCGAGCGAACTTTTGACGCACGACGAGCACGCGCCTCGGTATTCGCGAAAACTATCTTTGTCTCGAGTTTCTGCGATAGATGGTTGCTCGATTTAAAGCCTTGTCAGGTTGCAGCCTTCTCTCCTTCTTCCTCTCACGAATGATGCTGGCACGTGTGCCGCGAATTATCGAGCCTCGTGTTTACGAGGCGCGCATGGGCCAGAAATTACTCGGATGCCGAGGACTCGCGTTACTCGAGCGATTTTTAATCTACCCTTAGGGTTCGCCGCTCTCAGAATGCTCCTGTAAATGAAAATTCAATTCAAACATCTCAATTGGAACAATTTGAAAAGATTGATTTCCTGAAAAGATTGCTCCTAGTCCACAGTGAAATGGATTTTCTTGATACGTTCAGAAAACATTGCGAAATTTCGTGTGAACTCACGAGGCCAGCTGGTTGGTCCGTCGGTGTCCCATCGGAGGGAACAGAATTTGAGCAATTTCTGGCAAAGGTGGGCCTGACAGGTGTAATACGCGCGCAGGCGTCTCACGCGTCGTTAAGCGATGAGGTAACATCACGAAAAATTTTCGCTAGCACCGCCTCGCTCCGAATACATATTTGTGTTATGATATCCCGATGGACGGTGTTGAATTCGAGAGGTCCTCTTTGTAGACACGCAGCTTGACAGCTGCACCGTGCAGCATCGTTCATGCCGTTCGACTCGAAGACGGCTAGCTGCAGCTTCCACGAATATTTGAGCATGATACGTACACAGACGGTGGATAGATTCCATTCCTCTTGGCAGCTGCAAAATGTCTGTTGAATTTGAGAAATGTGCAGCCTCGATAACGCGATAAGGAATTTACAAAATGCTTCGAACGAGATAAGTCGTAAAGAGGGTGAATATTGTTATCTATCGCATTATTATTTCATAGCATGAAACTCTACAGAATTCTCTGGAAGTATTTTACACCCCTGATCCCTTATTCTAAATTTTCCATTGCATAAGAAGTTTTTGTTTTTTAAAGAAACTTCTCGATCGACGTTACATAAAGTCGACTGTGAAATCACGGAGCTGTCGATCGAACAAATCAGAATCCAACAATCAGTGGAAACTTTCATTTCGCGTGAGATCCTGGTCAAGGATCGTCGCTCGGTGTATTCCGAATTGGAACAGGTGCTCGCCAGGGATGTCGCGGGTAAAGAAGAATTTCAGGGGAACCGCCGTGATTGGTTCGTCGTGTAGGCAGCTGTTCGTAGCCTCCAATTAAGTAAGTGCTGTGTCGTAACAGGTGTCGCGTGATTATCAGGTACCGAAGGACCGGCTAATAAATATCGTTTGCAATATTCTAACCGATGGGTCGCGCACCTCTGCAGACCGCATCTAAAATGAAGATTCATTAAAAAATTGTTCTTTTTCATTCACTCTGCACCACGGATAGTATTAATTAATCCTCAAAGAATTTCATTTTTATTTTGAACGGCTGATAACATTATAAAGTATCCTAAGTTTTAACTTTGATTTAAAAAATGTCTTACCGTCAATGATTCCGATTAAACTGATAAAATTAATTGGAGGACTATTTGTGCGAGGTGACTAGGTTTCCATTCGGTCATAACTGTATGCATTTACTTTTCATTGCTTGCCAAGTGCATATGTTAACTAATACGCGTACACGTTTACATACACGCGTAACACGAATGCGGGATCAGTCGTCAGCCAAGTTTCTGTGAAAGCACCTGCAGGTTTCTACTAAATTAATAAGCCGAGAGGACGGTTATCAGATCGGATAAGTGGTTCTTCGATTCACTGGAGATTTAATTATTCAGTCGACAGATGAAAATCCGGTCAATTAGCAGCTTGATCCTTTCACGAGTTTCTTTCCTAAATGAAACAGAAAAAGAAACCGCTTATGAGAGAGAAGTGATTGAATGATATTAAAAATCAGCTCGCGTTCTTATAATAATTCGATCGTTTATCGCCTCGTTTGATGTCGCGTGCGGTACAGTAGAGGAAAGTTGCCCCGTAACAAAAGTCAGCCGGTGTAAAATTGCAAAATCAAGGCCCACCTTCGGCAGGAATTAAGCCGAAAAGGAAAAGCACCGCGTGTACTTGAATCGAGCGAAGGGAGACACGCATGCATGCACGGAACGTTCACCATCTTGGGGATATCTGGTACCCGTATTCAGACGGTCGGTGCACAACACCTTCCGATCAACCCAACAACCCTACCAACCTTTGTCAGACGCTTTTCCATGCGAGCAGACCGGAAACGGAGCACGCGCGCATGTCCAAGCTAACGTTTTACTCGGCTACATAGAATCATACCAACGAACGTCAGAAAATTTTATAGAAAAAAAGAAATTCATCATTGGACCGTGAATGACACGTTCGTTGTTCACTGTGTAAATTGTTGAATGAAGACGACTGGTAGGCGAGAAATTTGAATAGGAATAAATGTAGAACGTGTAAAGACATATGAAAATGCAATATCCTCGTCTACCTGAATCGTATTCAATCGTATAGGACGGTGTACAAGAACCTACCAACCTCGGCTATCTAAGACCAGCTCATCGTACAGCACAGTGGTAGCACGTGCTCAAATCCGAGCAGCTGCCTGTTTGCTGCCCTGGCAGGAAGGATATTCGCTTTCGACCCCCTCCGCCACTTCCTTCCCATCTCGTTCTCCTCGCTTCAAGGGCCCTTCTTTTTCTTTCCCTTCTTGTCCCTTTTCGGTTTTCACGCGAGTTCTTCGACGGCGAAGAACCGCGAGGGCAGCCGTCGGTGCTTGCAGGTTTGCTACTCTGATTTCTTTTCTCACCCTAACCGCTAACATACGTTTATGTTAGGTTTATTTTGAAAGGATAACATAGAAGAAATTATGTGTAATAGAAATTTTTGTATATACCTTCTTCTACTCTTGAAATACTTTTTTAATTATGCACAGAGGGGGTTTCGTTGGAAAACAACTGAAAAAGAATAGGAAGATTGTGGAATAAAATTGAATGCTTTTAGATCCACTTTCTAGGTTACTATGTTATTATTACACAATGTAGAAAGTTGGAACGCGTTGTTTTTAACCATTTCGATGCTATCTGAACTATGTAGTTTTGTATGACTGCTGTAGAAAATGTAGCAATTAATTTTTGAATAAATTAAGTCGCTCGAGTCCGCCGCGATGTTTCTTACCAGTGCCGTGGTGGAATCTTTGAAATATTTTGTATCGTTTTCTGCTTCTGAAAGTATAACGTGTTACTTTATTATATTAATATTTCATAAAAATAATCATAATAGTCTCGATTGAAGAGTACATGTAACAATATACCTTGCGTGTACTGTGCTTTAAGGTGAGCAATAATTTTCAATTATCATTTTAAAAGGTTTTCCCTGCAAACAGAGTAGGTATTATTGTTCTTTCGAAGTTTGTTAATAATGGTGTGGCTAATGAGATCTCCTGCGCGCTACGAATGAAAAGCACAAACATATTTTACTACGGGTATAATAAAGTGCCCGTAATAAGCGTCTTTACTGCCGGCGCCTCGGGCATAGTAGTATCGCGAATAGTCGTATCATTTTCCATTCATGAATTCAAAATGTTCATTAATCTTCTAAACAGTAATTCATTATAAAATTTTAATCACGATCAAGATTGTTTCCGTAAATTATTGCCTCAACAAATATACTTGTATTTTAACAAGGAAAATCCGGGAAGGAAACACGTATATCCTTACAACTTCCCGTGTATTGTTTCAATATTATTTCCTTCTTCTAATAGGAGGACAAATCCGGAAAAACTTTCGTAATAGAGTCTAACAACGTGGTCACGCAACCTAATTATCCTTGTCACGATTATTCAATCTGGTCTAAACGCAAGCAAACATAATTTAAACCATACCTGTCGTTTAAACTTTTCTCGTTTATAAAGAAATAACGAAACAGAATAACTGGGAATTTGAAAGAAACTGCTTGAAAAAGTAGCTACGCGAAGTATGCAAATTTGTTTTTTCAATTGTTCGTCATGTTTGTTTCAAACTTCGGATTGTTATAAAAAGGAGAGAAAAATTGACAAGTGACAAGTGGGAAAAAAGTGACTGGTGATAATACCACCAGTGAACATAAAGTAGCAGCATTGCATTGGTCGGTGAATGTATGTATGTACCTGTTTAGCTCTCTCGAAAAACCGCGAGGAAAAGCAAAGGAGGGCAAGAGTGGCGGAGGTGCAGCAGCTGGCTTCACCGCAACATCTGGCGGCATCCGATACTTATTCGGCAGTGCCACGCGCCACTTCCACTTCTCCGCCTTTCTTTTCTTTCTTTCTTCCCTCGTTTCCTCTTCCTATTTTCACGCTTTTCCGGCCGCGGTCTGCACGCGGCTCAACACCGCCGACCGTCCTCTCATTTCCGTTCGATCGATCAATACAAAACAAACGATTCATCGTTTATTATACCTTCGATTCGAAAAACATTAAAAAACATTACCGATAATACAGTGTCGTTGGTATACTCGTTAGATAACAGGTAATTAGCAATCAAAATCATTATCGTAATTATTTATCAACAGGTATCACTCCATGACTTCAATAATTCCAGAAGCAACAGAATCGACGTTAATAACAGTGATGCCGGCGGGTCGTGAGTCAGTGAAGGGGCCATCTTTCGAAAAGGTAACAATTAACAAGTTACCTTTCGAGAATTTCTGCGACCAATTCGGCCATGAATCGTTAATTTCCGTAACGAAGTATAAGGTTAACTGGACGCTCTCGAAACGACCGGTGCTCACACGCCCAGGAAGCAGAAAAGAAGAAGGAGGATGCAACGATAAAAATCGTTCGAGTCGTTGCCCGAAAACGGGCAGTCGAAAGCATCGGGGATACTTGGTGAAGTAAACTGTACACATGCAGGCAAGCTCGAGGGAAAGCCATTAAACCAGATAATTAAGTAGATCCTTATCTTCTTGATTCGCCGAATTGATCTCACGAATTCGCATCTTCCTCCTCGTTTAGCTGACAATAATAAACTCATTCTATTTATTTTCTCCTCACGTTCAATTGTAGCGATATTTCGGCGTGGTTAGCTTTTTGCCCATATTTTCACCGTTTCTGGTTCATCCGACATGGTGCCCCGTCATTTGTAGCTTTAGTGTCGCCTACTTATCTAACGCTTATTTTTTCCTCTGAAAGTAATTTCTACTTTCATCTTTTCTAATTAAGAATTAAGTCTTTGATTGCTATTTTGTTTGACTTTATTAATATTGTTATGCAATAGCTTGACGATTCGAATCGAAGAAACTCGTTAGACTGCCATTCAATTCTTCTTCTTATAAAACGCGATACAGGGTGCGCACATTCCCATGACAGGAAGACTGAAATTAGGTTTCCTGCCGAGTGCACGGACCGAAAGATAATTCCTTTCCGAAGTTATACGAACGAGAAACTATTCTTTCTTATCATATTATCCGTACCTTTCTCATTTTCAGCCAACGTTCAGGGATATTAAAGGATAGAGAAAGCTTCTTACTTCGAACCAAGCGACCCATTTCCTTTTTAATCTAAGCGATCCAGGATTGAAAACTTTTCTCCTTAGAAAGAAACTTTCATCGGAAACCTGAACTATCGGTTCCTTAAACTTTGCTTTTAGTTTTAAAAGAAGAAATTTTTTAAAAATCTTTCTCTTGTGTTAGTTGAAATTTTAATAGACAAATGGATAGAAATTCATGTACATTTGAACAAGGATTTCCAATCAAGGGTTGAGGCTACGTCGAAGCTAAATGAACTTTAATAGCGGCTGCCAAGGAAGTTCAACTTCTCATTTATATCGTCCGGATGTACGGTTGAAGCCACCTTCGTGGCATTCCCCTTCGTTCTATATTCATGCCCCAAGTAAAGTAACGAGTTGCCGAGCCGCCATCAAGACGGAAAATCAAAAGGAACCCGGATGTTGATCGGTCCAAATCGTTTCTTTCATTTTCTCCCTGCGTAATCAAGGTGGTTGATGAAGAATCAATCATGATTAACACTAGATTCCCCACTCATTTACAATTTTATTCCTATATATATAGAAAAATTTAAATAAACACCTGTGCTTATTTTCAATGGAAAAATGTTGTTTTTAAAATTCACTAGATTTTCATTTCAATTTTCTCCCATTTTCTTCAATGTCAAACTGAGGAATCATTTTATTTTCAGGATACGCGTTAAAAGAGTATGAAATTTCAATTAAAATTTCAAGAGGAAGTATGCATTGGCCACGCTCGTCGCTCCAGGAAATCGCATCGAAGAGGAAACGAAGATTTCATCAAGATAGAAAATAGATTCTTCTCAGGTGACGATGAAGCAAACAGGTGGTGCGACAAATGCATCTAAGCTTGGTAGAAACGAAACAAATAAATATTTCGTAGCTGATGGCTAGGCGTAAGGACGCGAGTCGACGTCGGTGGCGGCGACGCACCGAGCGTGCTTCCTGCCGCTTGACCGGAAGTCGCGAGTCAGAGGCTCGGCTCTACGTAGGCGTTACGCTTCCTTACGCGTATCTACACCGTCTCGCTACCCAGTTTCTCCTACTTGGCTCGATGTTCTCCGAGGAAGGGCCCAGGGCGCTCCTCGCTCTTTTTTCAAGGTCATCCTTTGACTATCCGGGCCAACCTTTCCCTTGGTTTTAACCTTCTTCCTGCTCTTCTTATCCCTCTGCTCGTATCGTTTCGTCGAAAATACAAGGAACGTGTTAATTAATTCATAACGAGAGGTGGAAGGGAACGAGAGGTTCCATTTCTTCCGGTGAAATCTCCGCTTCTTCATTTTTTTTTCTTCTTCTTCTTCTTCTGCTAATTATCAGCGAGTCACGTCGCTAGAACGATGCCGTTAATTGACCCGCGCGCAAAGAGGTTCCATCTTTCCCTCTCACCTCGCGGCGATTATTCCACGATCGCAGACGAACCTCGCGGGCTTAACGACGCCGTTAATTGTACCCGCGGCGAAACAACGAGCCCGTGAGCTTTGTGTCAAAGCTGACCATGTTAAACCTGTTCCAAGCCTTTGCCAGTTAACTGTATTCAGAGGCTAGCCACGAGTATACTAGGAGAACCTTGGTAGACACGCGAAAACGATCCCTTAAAATCATTTATCAGAGGAATTCGAATATCGGTTAACATCGGTATCGAATTGACTCGACGATACTTCTTCTTGTCATCTTCAAACGAAAGTTCCGTTTACACGTCCCGTATTTTCGTAGGTAACGTTGTAATCAAACTGTATTAAAGTAAAATTAATCGAGTTCCGATCGGTTTATCGATCGGTGGTACTGTATATTCGCATCGCGGAACTGTGGCTTAATTAAAGGAGAGAACTTTTGAGATCGAAGATTTATTGCTGCGAAACGGACGAATTTCATAATAATAAGCGATAAGGAAATTCAGTGAACGGTGGCTACTTTATTCGGCGATATCGACAACGGTCAGGTATATCGAGACGATACGCTTTCCGCTTCTTCGACACTAATTGGCCGCGTTAAAATCTCACATCTGTCGTATCAATAATCTCACGCGATACCATGGCCCTATAATTACCGAAAGATATTAATTATAATTGGGGAAACGGTAATCCACTTTTTTCTCTTTCTCTCGTCACGTTACTTTCTTTCATCTTTTCTTTTTTATTGAACTGTAAATTCGTCAGATAGAATAAAATTTGTTAACACATGGTCAATATTGCAATAAGAACTGTTGCTTTCAGGTATATGCTCACATTGTGATATAGAAACTCATTGCCATTCAGGTGTAGTTTCGTTTCACTCGGCTAATTCCGTCAGTTTTCTTTCGCACGCCGAAATAAAAGTTTCGATTCCGTGTGGCCGCAGGTAATTGCCGGCGAAAAACGCCGGTGAACGCATGGAACCGCATGGCTGACCGCTTTTTGATGGCGATCAACGCCAGGACGGACAAAACAACGTCCACCATCGCCTCGTATCTCTCCCTAATTATAATTAGCCCACCGATAATTGCCGCTTGAATTCTAATGCGTCCACCCTGCGGGGACTCGAATTTTCGATGGCAACGAAACCGAAATTGCCTCGTAGACGACGGTTAGTTTTTGCAACGGTGATCGCCTTTTTCTACCCCGAATTCGCGTCATTTGGCCCTCCCGAAGGCTGTTTTCATTTTCGATCGGTACTGATAGAAGGATAGAATTAATTCAGAGGGTTAGAGGGTCTGAGTTAGGGACAGGGGAACCGGTGTCCTAAACTAGACCAAAAAATCGCTAACGAGCTACTTGCCTTTCTGTACATAACGTACAAGAAAAAAATGTATAATACGAAATGTGTAATTACGTAGTTATTTTCTTCAGACTTTAAGCTTTAACTTAATGTATCGTACGTGCTATCTTGCAATGCTTTTCTGTTATGAAATCTGATCAGACTTTGTAAAACTGGCAACCAGCCATTTCGTATTAAGAACATTGATTTTCTTCTGATTAGAACATAGCAAAATTCCATTCATCAAAGTTTAATCTCACCCACACCGACGATTGTTGTCTCTGTAATTGGTTGAATTTCATTCGGGATAGTCCTGTTACGAAACGATTCACCTGTTGATTCTGGGGGATAACTTCCTGTCAGTCCACGGAAACGCGCCTGTTTAGATGGAATATTTAGTAGGATCGTGAATCTCGCTTCGTCATCCCATTAGACCCAATTATATTGTAATTGACTGTTCCAATGACAAAATTCTGAAATGTATACTTATAGAAAATTAATTTAGAGAATGGTTGTAGTTATCAAGTTTAGAAGAATTTTGTAATTTTATAACTAATTTTGTAAAATTAAATTCATTGATGTATCTTTTAGGCACCCATAACGGTTCAAGTGAAGAAATATTCTTGAAGAGAAGCATACTTTCTCTCTCTTTCTGTAATGATGGTATCGATGATTCTCCAGGAATTACCGACACGACTCAAATTAAACCCCATTTGTCATTAAGAATGACAGCATAAGAAACATCAAGTACTTTACATACTTTAAACTCTGATACATTACCTCCTGTCATCGAACGTGAGATCGACACGATAGATCTTTATCAGTACGGTAAAAGAAACGTCAATCAAAAACGTACGAAATGTTCGTTTCATTGAGAAGACGACACGACAAAGTCTCTTAATGGACGACAATTAACTTGAAAAAGTACCGTTCGAAGATGCACCAATGTTTGAAATTAATTTCAGATCTATCAACTTTCAGAGGGAAACAGACCTTTTCTGGACGGATATGTTGAACCAGGGATATTGAACCGATCATCTCGAAGAAAACGATGAAAATTATTCAGTAACGAGAGGGAACACCTGTCACACACGTGGTCACACCGTGTCCTCACGGTGATCATGCATCGATTACACTCTTCGACAGTTAATTAACCAATCAAACTGACGCTGGAATTTGAAGGAATACCGTCACGTGTGTTCTGACTAATTACAATTCCCTTTTCGACCAACGATCCATCATCTTTGTAGATTTTGTACATTGCTCAAATTGATACCTTTATGGATCGACCTGTATTCGGAGATTATCGATTGATCATTCAGTTTCAATTAGAATACTTTGGTCCTTCAACTCTCTGGTAATTCACCAAGAAATCTCTTTGTTCAAACAGGGCAGGCCCTGTGTTCAAGTACTCGTTGCCAGGGTGTTGGAACTCCTTTAATGATTTCATTCATCGCCAATTCATTAATGAGTGACTTTACAAAGATTATCACTTGCTTGCTGGATTCTCTCCATAGAAAATCTAAATGAACGAGAGGAATCTTTGTTAAATATGAGCGTGAGTAGAAAACACGTGGGATAAATGTAACGATATTGTAAATTAAAACCGTGACGAATAGAAACTGGTTCGTTAATATGTATGAGTGTAACGTGGCTTTTAATAGCTTCTTACGATATTAAAACCCGAGTTGTTACGCCGGTGAAACGGTTCCTTGTTCGCGAAAATAGCGTGGTTCTCACGAACTTTACAGATTGACCCCCCTGGTGTAACACGATAATTATGTTCCTAATGTAGAAGGAAACCGTGTTGTACAAAGAAATACGCCTGGTTTAGATTTCATAGCGTCAACAAGTTCATCTCTTATTGAACATTTTATGCACGTAATTTCTTAATTTCAGGTGATTGTTAAATTCTCGTCGCTGAATCCAATATCACCGTTCGTTTGTCGCCATATTCCGGAATAAAGGCCAGGTAAATAAAGTGGCCATTGCGATTCAGGGGATGAGCCTGAACGCGAGAAAACACGGTGAATACGAAATTCCTAATATCACACGAAACGTCGTGTTGCTCTGAAACAAAAAAAAAAAAAAGAAAGAAACTATGCGACTGACAGTCAGCCAAGTAACCGAGAAGAGACTTCCATAAAATGTAATGTAAACGGTATAGAAGATAATTCCTTCGTTTACATGATAAAATACTTTAAGGAACAGTGGATGTTCGACGAGAATCGTCCCAAGATCCAAGGAAAAGCCGGAGCGTTAAGTAGGAAGACGAACGAAGGGACCATGCCAGCCAGGCTCGATCAATTTTATGTCCCCTGGATCAAGCGATTGTCCGTCGGTGGTACGAAAGATAAAGAGAGAGAGAGAGAGAGAGAGAGAGTGTAGAGAGCAAAGAGAAGAGGACCAAGACTTTCCGATGCACCTGCTCTCAGGTGTACGTCCGCACCTTCCATCCGCGCGTGCAATGCATCTCTTTCCTCTCTCTTTTTCTCTCCGTGCTTTCTTCTCTCGTTCCCCGGGCCAATCTCACTTCTCCTGCATTGCCAGCGAATGTGCAAGCTGGTCGATGTTAATCCTTAGTTAAGGATTCCATGTCCAAGCGTTGATAGTGGTTGTCTCAGGGCCGGGAAATGCCATGGGGCTGCGATTCGATGCCAATTCTCACCCTTGGTAGACCTGTAAAAAATCTTCCAGCAATTAAAACGGCGAGAATTGAATGAAACCGATCAGTTGATCGACGCAAACAGCGACACGTTATTTTTGGTCTCGAGTTTACGTGCTTTCTGACCAGGTGTTCCCCCCATGATGGTATTTTCATGCTTCCACATGGACACATTCTCTCGAATGACCCTCGGAGTCGAGGTGTCGACCTTTCTTCGAAAGTTTCCTGGTACCAGTAGCCTAAGTTGACTTGAACTACCTTGACGTCTAAGCTTCGTGTAGGCATTAGTGGTGGGGGAGAGAGGATTTCGTCTCCCCGGACGCCTTTAGTTCGGGCCGGGGACCGCTAGGTGGCGGCGAGATGATCAGTGTTCTCGCTAGCGATCGCCCGGCATGCAATTAGAATATTATAGAAGTTCCGAATTGATGATCCCGAGACGAAACGCCTTTTTTTTCTCCCCTCTCCTACATTCGTTAAATTTTCTAGAGCTTTCCTTAAATTGATTTCTACCATAATTTTCAACTTCCACGGAGCTGGTAAATCCTTGAACACGTAAACGCGAGGTCAGGTATGCGGCACACCTAACCGCGGGTTTGAACAACGATGAACTAAGCGCCTCGATTATGTCCGGTTTACTGTGAAACCTTGACAAAAAAGAAAAAGAAAAACGAATAGCATTCATTCGAAGCGTGTTGGTGACACCAGCCACGGTTCATCCATTATTCACCGTTCATCCATTTAATTCATTTACCTCGTTCACTTGGTCGTATCGGCGCAAAAAAGCAACAACCGGACACTCGTAACGCGTCACGATCCAAGGAATGCATCGCAGAAAATAAACTGAACAACGCACGGAATGTCATCATCAAGAAAATGTTTTTCTTTTTTTTTTTTTTTCATCCTTTGCAGCTACTAGATTTGTAACGTTACATATGATAATTGTAAAATACCTTTGTTAAGATGCATTTTAAATTTCAGGTGAAACTGGGATCATTGTGGCACCATATTTGCTAATTTATTCCCAAGGAATGGAAGTCCTGGAGTGACGGAACCGGGTCTGAAACTTATCAAATGAAAATGATAAAAAAAGATTCTTTTCTGAGTATTATTTTATAAGATACCTCAATTGAACTGCAGGTAATCGACAGAATTCGATTCAGTGGCCGTTTGAATCGTTTATTGCTAATATAAATACCTTCTTTTTTTTTTTCTTTATTAAATCGAATCGACGTGACGACGGTTCATAAACACGCATAAAAAATATCGTTTAACCGAGCCTAGCGACAAAACGGTGCTACAATAGTTTGACGAATTGTGATATTCTAAAGAATGAAGAAGAATAGGAGGGAGAAAGGCGAGAATAGGAAGAAAGAACAAGGGACGGTTTCGTAAAGCAATCGTGAAAAAAGAAATTAAATGTGAAAGGTATCTCGTATACCTTCTGTTCGGTGGATCGCTTTGACGATTGTCCATTGTTCATTCGTCATAATTTTAATAATGCTACAATCGTGTCCACGTAGTTCGTCGTGTCATTCTATGCTTGAGAATCAAACTAAAAAAGAATTCTTTTTTGGCAAGAATTCCACTCCTTCTTCATTTTTTTTATGAATTCTTCTATTTTCCAAGAGTTCTGTCTTCTTCCATTCGCTCGAGTTCCCAGATTGACTCACTTTCTCCAGCTACTTGTTTTTCCCTCGCGTTTTTTCACGGAATTTCGCTTGTTCCCAATCTCCAGCCAGCCCGAGCTTTCTCTATTAAGTACCTAATGTAACGCGAATGGCGTGATTCGATTAATTTGTACAGATTGCCTAAACGATTGCCAAGCGCGTTCAGCGTTTACGAAGGGACTAATTTGTATCAGAGAATTACGCTCGACGCGGTTGTCCTTAATCGTTTACATTAAGCTTAAATATCGACAAATGTTCTTTTTATACATAGTTTACAATACACAAGAAGATCGATCGATCGATAGAATTCTTAATCGATACCGTTCCGTTTACTGTTCACTGTTACTGGAAGATCCAAGATCTCCTCTTTTACTTCTCTTTACCGTTAAACGCCAGCTAATTCGCAAGTGTAATAATTACACGTAAACGTTAGCTAACATCAATCGTCGTAACGAGAAAACGCTAAGTTCATTAAAAGATTTCAATTGCACTATTTGAGCGTAAAATCGTCACTTGATCTATCACTAGAATTCGGGTACGGTTTTGTTCTACGAGTAATCAGTTTCTCGTTGCCTCGTTATATCACCGAACAATCAACATGATCGTTCTTTTCCTTTCAGAGACGAACATCGTCAAAGAGCTGAAAGATCATAAACGCCTATGTGTTCGAGTTTCAAGAGTTCAGGAATCTCCCTCGAGGATCACCCGAAGGAATTCGCCCTCCGGAAGCTAGGATGATCCGCGTGGTTGTTGTTGCTGTTGCTGCGTGTAGAATCCAAAGGGGCGCGATTCGCTGGTGGACGAAGTAAACGATGAGGATGCGTTCAAAGCGGACGAGGAAATGGTCGCCCCGGATCCTGATGGACGCTGCACCGAGGACGACTTCTGTTGGTTCACCGTCGCTATGGTTTGTTGAGATCTCAGAGGGACCGGAAGCGGCCGTTGGACCTTTCTGCCTTGATGATGACCCGGAGTACGGTAACCTTGGTGACCTGGACCGGTTGGCCTGAGCCGGGGTCTGCCGGGTCCTCTTCGGATCGCTGGCGCGCCTCCTCTGCTTGACACAGCGCCCATGGGACCAACTGTACTGGGTCCCTCGCCTTCTGCTGCTCCGGAGATCCCTTGTATTCCTACGACATGCGACGAGAATTTTTTATTTTAACCAAACTGACTGTGTTTCAATTAAATCCGTCAGTGGGAGAAATGATAAGGTGAAATGACACGTGACGGTGCAACGAATTTCGCGGGGAAAGAGAACGATCACGATGCTCCTTGCACATTTTCACGATTATAATGGCAGATGCAGGCTACGAAGGCCCTCCATTTAACGTGGAGTGGTCTGACCAGTTAATCGGTTATTCACCGGTACACCGCGGCGTGGAACGAAGACAAACTCGAAGGATCGTGCCACGGCATCTATTCAAGTGATCGTAAGCGCACAGGAGCCGGCAACGAGGACGAGCCAAGGGTGTACGGAGGGGAAGAGAATTTAATGAGATAGCGAAGGGAGAAAAATTCTGGGCGAAGGAGGAGGGTGAGTGACAGGGTCGGAGGTCAGTAGCCGAGCAAGGATGTACCAGACGATACTCCTCGTCTCCTTCCTTCCTTACTTCCTTCCTTCCCTTCTTTCTTTCCTTCTTTCTTTCATTCCCTTATTCTTTTTCCCTTTTCCTGTTCAACGTTCAGACCCGTCGACATTCCTTGGCACGTTTCTCGATCCTTTCAGGAGGCGCTCTTCAGCCACCTCGCGAGAGGAACTTCGAGTGGCCACTCGGAATGAAAAGGACCCAAAGGGTGGGAAAAGCTCGAGACTCGACTCGTCTCTTTGGAGAAGAGCGCGTCGTTACGTGCTTTCGAAATTCTGCACGCGATTTCGTCGACGAGATTGCACAGCAACCACCACTCGATGGGAGATCCTTGAAGATAGAGCGTAGAAAAGCTTGGAACGGTTGCTATCTATTCATCGTTCTATCATTTATAAGTACCAAGATGCTTCTGTGTCAATTTATTAATAATTCAATGTATCTACTTACTTGTGAATGAACCTAGACTACTTAAAGGACTCTTCAAGATTAGTTGGAAGGACTTAAACTAACCAATGCACCCAAAACAGGAGAATCGAAACCTAATTGAATTCATATCCAACGAGGAGGAACGCTGGCAACCGAGGGGTCGGTTAAAATATTTTCGCGTCGAGGGTCCGCGATTCCCGCGAAAAGCACGCGTGGGTGAGATTCCCGGCGGGAGATAGAGCCCGGTGCACGTACAAAGAGGGTCTCCAGAAGTTTCGAGGTAGCTGGAAGAGCGAATGGAACGCGAGGATCCGCGGAATGCCGACCGTCCGGCTGGCAATATCCTTGCCTCGTCCTATCTTCCCGCATTATCCTGCCGTATCTCAACCCGACCAACAGCCGAACTCTTTCCCTCCCATTTCGTCCTTCACCGACGACCGGCTTCTTTCACCATACCCCGAACAAACTTACTCTCTCTCTCTCTCTCTCTTTATCTCTTTTTCGCCTCGGGCAGCTTGGATCCAGAGAAAATTATTGCATTCTAAAACGAGGGACAATGAAATAGTTTAGCACCGCTTCGAACCGTCTACCCTCTGCTGCCAGAACCACTTCGACGAGATATCCCTTCAGGGTATAATGAATTGGTCGATTCGTTATCGTAATGATAGTAACCAGGGACTTTAACCGTTCAGATTAGCGACTGTTCGGTTCCAGTTGCTAAACCGTAGGATTTCAAGGAAAAAAGGCAAGGTTGACCCGAGACGGCAGGGGTCGTCGCGGAAGTAGAAACCTCGTAGAGCTATGTATAACCACTCGAACTGGTTGGAATTACTTTCCGTTATTCACGACACGAAAATATGATGGAAGCAATGCGGACGAGCAAGATGACACGGTGCGGTACGATCAGGTACGGCACGAATCCACCGAAAGCAACCCCCTTAGATCCAGTTACCTTTGGAACGATCGCCAAGTTATCTACTAGTCACGAAGAATTAATATTGCGAATATGAATCTTTATCGATAGAATAACTTTACGGATTGTACAGTAATTTATAATGTATTCTAGGATACTTAATATAAATTTTCGATTGCAAGTCATGTGGACGGAATTTCAGAAACGCGGATGAATATCTCGAAGGCAACAGGGAGCATCATATTCCTGCCTTTCGTGGGTACATTGACCATATGTCTTGCTCTTATTCGCAAAACGCATCTCCATTGATGTGCATCGAATCTTCGTGACAAGAAATTTGGAGGGGGACCCTCTGCTGGTCCAACATACGATTTCGAGCTTCGTTTCGGAAATTTTATATTACATTAATGGAAATTCGAATGAAACTGAAAGAACGTAAGCAATTACCGTACGAAACAGGGAGGCTCAACGCGAAAAGAAAAACAAATTTAAAAAAAAAGAAAATGTAACGAAATGATAGTCGAAAGGAGAAGGGAGAAAGGAGAGGGGTGAGCGAGTTCCAAAAACCTAAGAAGAGCATCATCGATCGCAGCTGTCGCGTTCGCTCCGCACCTGCTATTGTCCGCTCGCTTTCCAGTCCGACGACAAGCGAGAGAAAAGGAGAAAGAGAAGAACGACCCCTTTACTTTCCGTATATGTAGCACGAAAACAGCGTACAAACGCGCGAGGTGCCGTGGTGCACGTTGCCCGCGTAAACTTCGGTCCACGTGTCGTTTCGTTTCGTTGCGTGAGGCCACCTACTCGTTCTCGTGCGGCTCGCTTTCGTCGGGCCTTCTCGCCTCTCTCTTCCCTTTTTTCTTTTCTTCTTGCTTCTCGTCACGCATCTCGCTTTGCGTTATGCAACGTAACAGCGGCGCCGCCGTGCCGATACCCTTACACGCGACAAATTGTTCTCCAAAATGGTTTATCGTTAACAAGATTTCTATTCGATTTTAAGTCTAATCGATAATCAAGCCGTTTCTGGCTAAATGCAGTCACCCTGTCGAAACCAAGACCCAGCCTGGTCCCAGAAGACGCGTACTCGTACGTACGAAAACCACGAACAAGAGAGTGACTCACTGGACTTATTTGGATGGGGGTGGATGTATCTCTGTAAGGGTGAAATCGCGTACCCTAAGGAAACAGAGCCAACTGTTCCCCGAAGCACTTGCGCGCAGATGTAACCGCGAGGGAATTTCGATAGATCCACAGAGGCTGGGGGGTACTTTCTTTTTTCCATCGAGCGAAACCCCATGAGAACTCGACCAAGTGGCGCGGTACAAGTGAAACTGGGGTTCGGATCTATGAAAGAGTCGTAGAGCCGGGATTAACCGGGCCTCTCGTATCGATTCGAGGGGAACCGCGTCGCGAAAAGTCATTTTCATCGTCCCGGACCATTTCGAATTTGGTCCCCGAGGTTCTCTCTTAATCCTCTTAACCGTATCGCGTACGGTTGCCGGAGTCACCGCTCGTTTCTCAGCGACTTAAGCTTAAGTTTCGAGTGAGAATTTCACAGATGGAGGATTTAAGTACGCGCGGACGTACAAATTCTCCAACTCCCAATGCGAATTAACCAGTGCTTCTTACGTATAAATTGTCGCAGTACCGAAAATCAATTTCATTATTGCTGGGTATAAGCTTCGGAACGACTTTATAAAGCAAAGTTTATAATATCGTGAAAAATTTCACAGATGAAGAGATTTAGGTCTTGTTTTGCGTTTTCGAGGACAATCGTATACGCTTTAATCTGTGCTAGAATCCGTTCAATATTCCTGCCATTAATAATATGCACCAGATTTTCTCTACCGTGCAATATAAATAGGATAAAAGCTGTCCTAGTTAATTATCTAAGTTAATCACGGTGGTAGTTGTTTCTGTGTATATTAAATATTACATGAGACTAACGTTGCAAGTTCGGTGTGTTACGTGCAACGGTGTTTGAATATTCATTAATCAATGTCATTCGATTCCGCATATCAGTCTAGATATTTTTTCTCTGTCCTTGCAGGAAAACCTCGACGTGATTTATTATCTTTTATAACGATAAACTTATACTGGTTTCATTTAGTATGTTCTAATTTGTATCAGAGATAAAATTTCATACTCACCGTGCTGAAGAGTTTGTTCATTGGCTATACTGCTACTGGTCGGGGACAAAGATGATGGTGATTGAGGCTCGCTACCAAGACCCTTGGATGGATGAAGTAAGAGTAGACCTCTGCCTTTCCCTCCAACAGGACCTCCTCTCCGGGAACCACGAGGTCTGCCCCTTTTGCTAGTGCCCCGTACGTTCGGTCTCATCCGAACACCAGTTCCACTGCTGAACGGCATGTGATGTTCCAGACGACTAACTTTCCCAGCTTCTCCATACTGGCTGATACGCGATTGTCGAGCATCGCTCGAGGTTCCTCCTACTGGACCATCCACGTCAACTACCAGACCATCGTTGCTCGTCTCATCCTGGATAAATTAAGCACATTCATGTGTTATTATTAAAACAAAAGGTACTAGTATCGTATCTGTATGTCACAGTGATACAAACCTCTGACTTAGCTGGGCTGGTTGGCACGCTATAATCATCTGTACTGTCGATAATTTGTTGATGATTGTTGAGATGATAAGACTGAACGCCACCAGTCTGAGAGCTTTCGTTCGAATTGGATTGATATGTTTCACCAATCTTATCGCCATTTGCATCAGATAAACAAGGCTTCTTCGCGTCGCCCTGAAAACAGATACAACCAAAAATTAATAGGAAAAGTAATTGTGAAAGACGAAAAGAAAGTAAAGAGATTGTATCGGTAACGGAGAAATCGAGAATGAAGAAAAGACACGGGGGACTGATAGCGGCTCTAAGGGCGTCGGGCTTACCTTGACCGGAAGCGCGGTTAACTTCCTCTTCCGGTCCCTCTCCTTATGGTATAGGTTGAAGTCGACTCGGGCATCCTCGGCGTGCTGCTTTCTCTCCTCGCTCCGTTGGCTATCTGAAATATACGAACGTAGGCCGGTATATACGGGGACGTTCGTTACTTCTTTTCTTATTATTATTCGTTATTAAGGCATTAGCATATCCTAACGAGCATAATGTAATTGCATCAACATTCTTTCCGTCCCCTTATCTATCTCACTCTCTTCCTCTCTTTCTCTAGCTAAGTATACTTTTGCGTGTCGACGGGTTCCATCATGAGAATACAACCGAAATCAAGGTTCAACGAGTAAAATTATGGAAGAAATGGAACTGTTTAACGAACATTTGTATTTCGTTTTAAAGATACTCACATTTCGCTTCAATCTCCTCGTCGTCTAACAACAGGGAGACAACTTCCTTAGGCTTCAACGTGTCCGGTTTAAAGTTTCCACCGCTAATTACCATGCGTTGTATCTACGAAAAATCAGGCCCATCAGAAAATTATTCAAAAATCAGATTCCTTAAGATTGATTTAGTTCAACTGAAGTCAAACCTCGCTCTTTTCTCGTGCACGTTGCAATATTCTCTCTTCGATAGTTCCTTTACAGATCAATCGATAGACTGTAACTTGCTTTGTTTGTCCCAGCCTATGGGCACGATCCATAGCTTGCTGATCTACCGTTGGATTCCAATCACTATCATAGAATATCACCTGTAAAACAATGATACTTGAACGAACAGTAGAATCGAATTTGCTAAGTTCAAGGAAAACCTTTAAAAATTCTTATTTTTCCTTTTTCTAAAACAATATTTTTGAAATTCGTTAATATCGATAGAGTTTAGATATTTGTTACGCGGCGTTCTAAATAGGGACAGCTCTCTTTCCATTCGATAATCGAACGAGGGCATATGCAAATGAATTCGGTAATGCATACCTGCAGCCCACGTTCGTGCACTTTCGTACGTAACAGAATGCAGTTTCGGCAATGCAGGGGGAACGACCCTGACCAAAAATCTTATCGATCCTATCATTTAAATTTGCGGCAATAATTCGCCCGCATTCGTCCAAGGTATACGATACCTTCCTATTTAAGAATTTGTTTCTACAATTCTATTTTTCCTGAAGAATGATATTTGATCAGGCACGTTCCCCCAGTCTTGTTAAATCGATAACAAATACTGAAAACTGCTTTCGTGATTAAATGTTGTCTCCACGAAAGACGAAATCGTGATTTCTCACGAAATATCTACTCCTGATCGTACGATCACGCGTAACTCAGGCATTCCCAAGAAAAAGAAGTACTTATACTCGGCCAAGAGAAGCCTATGTTGCACTACAAGTGTACAAGGTAGCATCTTAAGGAAGGATAAAATTACTAACCGTATCCGCAGCAGTCAGGTTTATTCCCAGTCCTCCAGCTCGGGTACTCAACAGAAAGACAAAAATATCCGCCCTGAAATATGAATCAACCCCTATAGAATTGAACAGTTAAATAGGATACGTTTGGTATGCAAATTAATTCAAAGTGCTGGTAGTGCACTTAGAGGATTTCTAGTATGAAATATAAAACTTGACATTTTTAAAACAATCCCAATGTTACAGGTACTGATACAAATAGAAAAATCTATTTCATTAAGTTTCAATTGTACATTGAAAAATAATGATGTAATAGTAATGGTCTCATATTAGAATCATGTTGTCCTGGCAAGCAGACAAAACTGCAGCCGTCTAACGAGACAGGAACGATTCGCCAATTAATTCGCTTGTTGATTATACACGAGTGAACGAACGAACGACACGCTTTAGACATGCAACGCGATGCAGAGCTAATACATATTCTAAGCCAGGAAAATAGTTCACTCGGTTTATTAATCGTCTATCCTCGTTAAAATGCAGACGACCCCCTTTTTTAAATTTAGAGATATTAAAATGTTCAGTGAAAGATTCTAATTACCGCTTCTGAAAGTCTGCAACCATGTCACGCCTATCAGAGATTTTCGAAGAACCGTCTAATCTCATGAAAGTATGTTTCCTATGATACATATATTCCTGTAACAAAAATACCATGTAAAATCATGTACCAATTATAAGAATCAGGATGAAAATAAAATGAAGATACCTCTAATAGATCAATCATTTTTGTCATCTGAGAGTAAATAAGAACTCGATGACCTTGTTCTTTAAGACGGCGCAAAAGACTGTCTAATACTGACAATTTCCCCGCGTCTGTTACTAAGGTTTGCTTATCTGTAATCATTTCATAAAAGAAGAATTTTCATTAGAATACGTATCACGATTAAATGAGAAGAAGTAGTAGAAAAGCCAAGTACCCGGTACGATAATGTTCGACCAGCCATTAATTGGCGTACATGCAGATATTCCGCCGTGTGGTTCAACGGAAAATGTTGATACTGTTTGGACTACTTGAGAAGCTAAACTCTCCTGCGATAATGGATCGGACAGAGCTTGTTCACAACCGAGCCAGAGAAGTCGTTGACCAAACTTTCCGCCGCATTCTTCGTGTCTTCTCCATGCACACGCCGCAGAACTATTACTAACATACAGTTTTCGAGGACTAGCTTGAACCTAAAATTAACGTTCCCTTAATGTCATACTGAATCATTATTACTGCATTTTATCGCTGAATTGCTTAAACACCTTAGGATAAGTATCGCAGATAAAAGATGGAATGGTAGTTTGTTGGCAATATCGCATTATCGGTGGCCTTGGAAGATGAGGATGTTCTGGTAACAAGGTTACTTTCGTGTCTTCTTGTTCAGTTTTGGTGGAAGGAAGTATTCGCTGCAAAAATCAGTAACATATACAATGGTTAACTTTTCCATTAAACCACAAGATAAATAGGTGTTTCTAAACAATTGTTAACCTTTAACAATTGATTGGCTGTTTTTTTACTACTACGCAGGATTCGATGAGCAACAGTTTCAGGCATTGAATGAATAACGTGCGTAGTATGCGTATACACAGATTCTCCCTCCATGATCTTTTTTGTGAATAGTAAATCTTGCATTGATCTTGACGAAGTGTTAATTCTTTTAGGTACAAGAAATATTTGATTTCTAGGTATTGCTGTTCTCTCGTCGGCATTCCAATCTTCCCAATAATGCATCATCTTTATCTTCCTTTCCATTATTGTTGCAAGACATAATCTAAACAGACATAGTAAACTAAATGTACCACGAATCATTATGCGCTTTATACTTAATTTCAACAACTGTGTATATACCTGAATAAGATACCAATGATAAATATTTTATTTAGTTCCATTGGAGACAAGTTAATGAACCGACTAAAAGAGAAGGGATTTTGAGAGAGATCTTCGCTGCCACCGTAAAGGGTTCGATGTACATGTTCCGTAGCAAATATAAACAACTTATTATACAACAAGTGATCTTTGGATGGCAACGAGAGGTGCACGAGACCTTCTGTATATAATAATGCAGGCATTTCATAAAATTCTGTACGCATAAATAGTGGTGATTTAGCATCTCTGCGCTCGAACAGTTCTGGATGATTGCAAACCTGGAATTAATATTGATGTAGAAATAAGTTAGAAATCTATATAAAATCGTTTGACACGTTAATTGATACCTTTCGGAATTGCATGACTAGATTCATAAGATTTGACGTGAAATTTTTGTCATTGGACGCAGTATCACCACCCACTGTGTAATGCAGTAGATCCTCTATTCTAATTTTCTTCTTCAATGCCGAATAAAGTAACTTTTGACGAGTTGTAAGCGGACAGTACACCATTACTTCGATTTTGTCGGATAATTCGTTCTCCACGTCTTTCTTTATTCTTCGTAACATGAACGGTTTCAGGATCATATGTAGCCTCGATAAATGCTTTTCATCGATCCCAGTTTTGTTTTCCGCGTGACTCTCGATATCTTTGGAAAACCATTCGTTGAACTCGTCGTGCGAATCAAACAATGTAGGCATTATAAAATGTAACAATGCCCATAACTCCGCCATGCTATTTTGAATAGGCGTACCGCTAAGTAACAATCTGTTGCGACAACTAAATCCAAGTAATAACTTCCATCTCATACTGCTGGTGCTTTTTATAGCTTGCGCTTCGTCTAGAATCATGTACTGCCACTTTATTCGGTTGAAATACTTGTAATCGGTAATGACTAATTGGTAACTAGTTATCACGACATGAAATGAAGCTTCTTTCGTGTGTAAATCTTTAGTATCCCAAAATTGTCTCAATATTTTCCGTTCCTGTGGATTACCCCAATACGGAACTACTTTAAACATTGGCACAAATCGGGCCATTTCCTGTTGCCAATTGTGCAACGTCGAAGCTGGCGATATGATTAAAAATGGTCCCCATACGGCTGTAAAAATTAAACGAAACATTATAGTTAGTTCGCGAAACTTTAAGATGTAATAACATTTCTGGAGAATAACGTACAATATCTTTCAGCAACGTGACACAAAAACGCTATGGATTGCACAGTTTTCCCCAAACCCATTTCATCTGCCAAAATTCCACTAATACCCTATAAAGAAAATTATTGAATAAAAATTGGCTATTTAAAACATTCATGTTAAATATCACGATGAGTTAATAATGCATAAACCAACCTGATCATATAAATTAGCTAACCAATTCATTCCCTTCAGTTGATAACCTTTAAGGTTTCCTTTAAAAATCGAAGGCTGTGGGTGTTCCAATGTTTCAGGTGTATCGCTTAAACGCAACTCTTGAGATGCAGCGGCTGTATCGAATTGTTTTGCCCTAGCTTTTTCATTATCGAATGCTTCAGTAGCGTTCCTTTTTGCTTTTTGCTTCATAATCTCACTGTATTTTGATAAATAATCATGATATTCTGTTATATAAACATGCGTATTATTAAATAATTACCTATCGTAATCATCAATCCCAACAAGTCTCGGATTTTTCTCTTCATCTAATTGATTTAAGATTCTTAGTTGTTCTTCAGGAGAAGCTTTCCCTAATTTTCGAGACATAAAATGAGCATATAGTTCAGTTTGCGTGATGAGAAAGTTTAATTTTCTTTGTTGCCGTTTTGCCTAAAACATTTAATAAATTAAATGTAATTACATGTTGGTAAATTGCACTGTAAGTAGAAGAAATTACAAAGGTAATTAACATTAATTACCTCGATCAACTCCACATCCATTTTTCGCTGTTCTTCAGCTTCTTTTTCTAATCTTCTCCTCGTTTCACGTTCGACTCGATCATAGCGTTTCCAATAAGCTTGCATTTCTCTTGTAAGACGTTTTGCTTTCCATATAGTTTCCTTCATGTTTCTTTGTGACTATATACAAAGAAAAGAAACCATAGAAATTCTTTAATCATCCTCAAGTATACACAAACAATCATAGATGCAGTAATGCTCACTTGCATAGCCTTTTGTCTCCAATGTCTCATACAATGCTGTGCTACTTTCTTACAACTAATTAACATTTCCTTATGATTATTAGTTTTTGCTCTTTGTACTTTTCCTAATTCCTTCTTCGACATCATTACCCAAATTTTTCGTCTCCTCATTGCCATTACTTCTGGACTTTTATTATTATGCTTTTTTCTTCCGCGTTGTCGAGGTTGATGACGCATTATTGCTTCCAATTCAGCTTCGTCTAATTCTTCTTCCTTAGGAATAGTACGATCCCATTCTTCTTCTGGATATTCACCTTCCTAAAAACCATGAATGTCAGCGGTATACTGAAATACGCGACAATTTTAATTTTACATACAAGGTAATCCTCGGATGGTCTATGACGAGGAAGTTTTTCTTTTTTTATTTTTATAACTTTCTTTTCTGGCTTTTTTTCTTTCTTCTTTTTGTTTCCAACTATTAATTTTTGATGTTCCAAAAATCTATCATAACTTGACAATAATCCAGCACTGTAATATTGGTACTGAATATTCTGAAAGTAATTATTATTAATTGTCCAGTTACTGTTACTTTTATTTTATGCTATTTTAATTTGAATAAACCAGTCTTACCTCTGGTTTCTGATAAAAACGAGCTTGGTACTTTTTTCTGAGTATGTGAAACTTTAACATTTCCTGAAAATCTTCTTCTGTAATTGGACTATCAGTATCAGATCCTGAGGCTGAACTATCAGATGAATCACTCAACAGAATATCCTGCAACCATCTACGTTCTTCTCCAACATTTGACATGTTATACACTCTCAGTTTATTAATTCTTTCCTCTATAATATTAATAGTTAGTACATAATTGATCAAAGTAACATGTTATTTTTAAAATACTTAAACAGGTACCACACCTTCTTTACGAATCAGAACATTATCAAGATAATTATCTGATCCTTCTGATGACTCTGATGATATAGATTTATCATCCTCACTGTAAAATTAAATAAAATTAGAATCTTAGTTTGCACTTATAATCATTCCAAATGTTTGGTAAATAGGAAATCTACCTAGCTGGATCTTGGAATAACTCATTAATTTGTCTTAAAAAGGGCTGTACATTGAGGCTACGCTCCAATCTTTGCAGGTGCAAAGGAGCAGCCATTTCTGCTTCCAGTCTCATTGTGTGAGCCCTATCTGTCATTACCAGTTTATATACAATTCAGTAACCTACAATAATAAAAAGATATCATCAATAACAACATTAAAACCTTTATTCACATTAAAATCAACCTTTATGGTATCTTTTATAATATGCTTTATAAAACATTTCTAACATGTATAAAATACTATTTAACTGTGCAAATTGATTATGATTAGTCACTGAAATAAACTGATTTACAATAGCAATATCCACAGACCCGTTGTCAAGGAAACAAATACTTTATCTGCAACATGTACGAACCTAATATCATTCTGTGATTGATATTTCAATAAATACATTAAATGATTTTGATAGCACGTATTACATGGACGACAGGAAATATTTTGTGTAATTCGTACATAGCGTGTTGCAAAATAAAACATCTATTTTGCGCTTTGTATTAATAAAGCATATAGGATTTTGCTCCTTACTGCATTGCCACAATGCTAGATTGTTTATTTTGTGTTTCCTGTAACGGGTAATACATGTTAAAGGCGTGAAATTGCCGTGTGGAATCGTGTGTAACCAATTACATTATATAAGGTGAATGACACGACGAATCAAGCTGATGCGGTTATAATTTCGCGAAATATTCGATAGTTTTGGATCACCTTCGGTTTGGTTAGAAGTAGCCCCACTTATTTAGCACGTAAGATAGGGTCGACCGCGAGGAAATGATTCCCTTTGTTCACATCGAAATTGGGTATATCAGTCGGAGGGAAATACATAGTAGAAAGAAGCCTAGAGAACGTAGACATTTGGCGTGCCATAAAACCAGGGCAGGGATAGGGCATATTGTTGGCCACCATTTTTGTTTTCAATAGGTGGCGCCAGGTTAGTCAATGTATAGGCAATCCACGGCTTTACCAACATTTATTGCCGACAAACTAATTTTATTATTCAACTTTACGTAATATATACTCATTCTTTAAATATACAATATTATATATAGTAAAGCTTATTTGAATCCTAACTTCAATCTATTTTATCAGATTTTTCGTTACATTCAATTATTGATTTAAAAATGACATATATAATTTCAAAAGCATGTACAATTCAATTTTGTAACAATAATATTGTGAAGTTTCTTTGTATTTTATTGCAAAGTAACTAAATACAGCGCATTCTTAAAACATTTCATTTTAAAAATAGCGTTGTTTAAACATCGATAGATCGAAATTTGTGTTTCTATGCTTTAAATTTCCCACGCAATATAACTGCGCACAGTGTCTTGAACCAAATACTGGTTATACATACTTTCGATTACCCGCCAGTATAATAAAAATCATTAAAAATTATAATAAACTTGTAGTAATAGTAAAATAAATGAAGTGTTGAATAATTGTAGACTTTATTTCTTTAAACGCAGTATACACGTAACTGGTTCGTAATAAAGCGTTTAGAAGAAAAGAAACAATAGTCTATCACAGAGGATACTAACAAATATTATTTCGTATAACGTATTAACTATAAAAATAACGTTCTTCTATTGAATTATAACTTTATTGTATTGAATATATTTAGTGTAATTCATATTAAATTGTTTTTTTAGTATCAATGCTAGGCGTCTGGCATCGAGACGCAGACAGCTAGCAACTTTGTTTTCAGTTATGTGAACCCCGTTTTGTTTCCGTTATTGCAGCGAGCCATCTTGCTTCAGACGCCGATCATTACTTCTTCTAGTAATTTCATTGGTATCGTGTCGTGGAAGAACATAAGAGTTTAGTGGTCAAATAAACGTTGTTTTACTTGTATCAGGTAAGTTTGTAAACATGTTTCTTTTTCTGCATTATTATTTATATGCGAACGAAATTGAGTCGTTCGCAATTACTCCGTTTTAAGGATAGAACAGTAACAATTTACGATGAGCGTTCTCTCAACATGTTGTATCGTATTTAACAATAATTCGTCAACGATCAAGTTTTCAAATCATATTTTTGATATTGTGATTCAAATTACCGTTTGTTGTAAAAATTATTTTACTATATGATAATGACGTGGCAACAGCTTTACAAATGCTACGTCACACGGGTGCTCGTATATAACATTTTTCATTACAAAATACTACAATTGATGCATATATTGCACAATAAATAATTTCCTTTAAATATTACCTGTACTGGACAATAAATAGTCCTCACAACAAAGTTATCTTAATGTCATTAATAATTTGTATACTGTATCAATAATTTTCCAATAAATTCCCATAACTAATGAAAATAGTATCATCCAGTAAATACAATTATTTTATAGTAATTTACACATGCTTTCATAAGTTCCAATCACCTCATTTTTATTTGTATGTGGTCAGTAAATTATGTAGCACAAAAGGAGACGAGGATAAGCGATTGTACGACCGCCATTTTATGAAACGAGTATCCAATAAAAATACTTACGATTTATCGTTTGAACTTAAAACATATTTCATTTTTCTTTATCATAAATTTCATCTATTAGTAAGAAACGTTAATATTAGAATTTAAAAAAAAAATTAATTGAATACTTAATGAAAAACAAACTATCAATAGTTTTTAACCTTCAAAGGGGTTTCATAGAAAAACAATATTTAACGGTACATGAATGGTATAAAATTCAATCATCACTGTTTAGGAAAAGTATAATTGAAATAAATTTCTTTTTTATTATTATAAACGAGTATATATATTCCAAGTTTTTATCATGCATCTATTAAAGGTTAACGTTCCGATGATACACGATTTTATATTTAAAATTTTTATTTTATGTGTTACGAATTATTTTATATATTTGACGTTTTTAATTATTTATCCATGACGTTAGGCGGGTTCGGTACATTTAATAAATCATTGCGTTTTGCATTTACACGCAGCTTTTATTTTCCGTGTTCAAAGTAATGGTACATTGTAAGTACCGAATACGGCTAATGCTCATATTCACCTAATATTTGTGTAAACACTTTTTGGCTGAGTAATAAGCATGGTGATAAATACTTGACAATATTGTAGCGATTCATACTTTATCAACGAGTTAAATACCAAAATATTTTGTTTTCAACTTAATTGTAAACAATGTTTTTGTTATCCACAAGTGCATGAGATGTGCTTAAACTAGTTATAAAAACATGTTGCAAAAAATATTAAGTGATCTTATTTCTTATTTAGCTGAAAAAGTTGTATAATTAATAAATTTGTTCAGTAAATAGTCTGCCTTTTCTGCACCGTGTAGGAAGTATGTTTTCCACACTATTGCTTGTTATTCGCTGTTATTAAAACAGTTATTGTCGTTTAGAATTTCCTACATTATTTGTTTTCTTTTGAGTAAATTGTCATCGCATAATTAAAAATTACATAGTCACTATATAGATTTTTGTTCAAAATGCAGTATGTTATACGAATTACATATATTTGTATACAACTTATTTTCATTGCTATAAGTTCTGCAAGTTTCATTAGGGAACGATATTAATTTTAATAATCAGTATGAAAGTTGCACATTATTTTCCTGGTATGTGTAATTATTAAAGAAGGATGCAGTTCGCGTTTTACCGCCCGTAGAACCAAAATTAGGAAATGTCCCCTGATAGATCTCGACGGGTCCTATCGAATGAACCTAGTCCCAGATTGCGCAAACGAATAATGAAAAAATTATAACCGGTTAAATTTTTGTATTTTTTCCTTAAAAGGAAGTTCAAAGTTCCTACTTGCAATAGTGGTTGAGTGGCGTATGGGCTAAGGCGCTCGCTTTTCGACAGCAAGCCCGGGAGTTCGAATCCCCGAGGAGCAAATGTTTTTTTTTTTTTTTTTTTTTTGTGTTGGAAAACCTTAACCATACAAAGCTCAATCACATTTCCTCTTTCGTTTTAATTAGGTTAGGTTAATTTTTTCTATTTGCCCAACCTGAGACTAGGCTCATTCAATAGAACAGTTCGAGACCTTTCAGGATATACAATATATATTGTCCTATTTTTGGGGGCGGTGGAACACGGAACTGTACCCAAGAAGGGTATATGTTAATGCTTAACATTCATTAGTTACTTTAAAGGTAATTTCATATACTAACAGCACTTCTATGTTGCACTTGTGTTACGTTGCAATTAGTTTCTTCTTTATGGTACATAAGTTTCACTTGCAAAACTTCGCGAGGCAAAGTCCGAAAATTACATGAAAAATATAAAATAGCGTTAGTAATCAGACTATTATTGAATATTATAAATTGCATTGCCATTCTCAGCCAGAATATTGGAAATTAACAGTACTTATGTTGTCATGTGACTAAACGGCAGGTTCTCAAAGAAGCCTGTTATGTATGGTGTTTTTATATTTTCCTTTAAGAATGAGCACCCGAGTATTCGTTGGTGGATTAACATACCGGGTGAGAGAGCGCGACCTTGTGAAGTTCTTCCGGAAATATGGTAGAATCAAGGAGGTCGCTATGAAGAATGGATTTGCCTTTGTGGTAAGTCTAATGTGGTTCAATTGTTTTTTTACAGTATGGTAGGGACAAGGGTCTATGTCGGTGGGCTTCCATACGGCACCAGGGAAAGAGACCTTGAGAGATTTTTCAGAGGCTACGGTCGATTCCGTGATGTCCTCATCAAGAATGGTTACGGTTTTGTTGTAAGTACATATATTAAATTTTACATACGCATCTTAACACTTTACTCTACTCAGTTTGGCTCTGTATATTATTTACCACACACTGTGTTAATATTCCTAATCCCTGTCTTAATTATTCGTTTATTTTTGCTAAAATATTTCACACAAACGTGTAAAAGAAATCGCTAGTTCTGAAAAATTTTTCATAGAAAAAATTAGCTTAGTTACTCTACCATTTCATTGTTGACCAAAGTGCATAGAGTATAGTGTTGTTACTTTGAAAATGACTTGAACACGTGAGTTGATCTGACCTACCTTGAGTCCTGAACACATTGGTACTCTGGCTGCTTAGTGGAACTGTGTGCTGGTTTTCATCGATTAATCTACAATGTGTTTGTAAGTTATTTATAATCAAAGGAAAGTCGTGTTATTCGTATACAACATTTGTCTATTTGGAGGTAAAATATCAAAATTAAAAATAATTTATCAGTATAGCTTGAATATTACTTTTCTTTATACAAAATGAATGCAATAATATTTGTATAGAACCAGTTTTGAAATCCCTAAACTGTTCGTTCAAAATTATTCAGCCTCTGTTAGTTAATATACACTATCATTACATTTGTTTAGTATACATTATTTGGAAAGTTATAATTAACTGTATTATTGGTTGCATAAATGCGTATGTGTTACCATTCTACCTATACTTCATTAAAAAAAAATAATAATAAATTAAAATTAGTTATATAATGCGAAGGTGCATGCAAAAATTAGAATCTACAATGACTGTATTATATTGATCTGTAATAAATGCATTTTGTTTACAGGAATTCGACGACTATAGGGATGCAGATGATGCCGTTTACGAGCTCAATGGAAAGGAGCTTCTAGGAGAAAGGTAAAGCGTACAATTTCTTATTATACGTATTTTATACGTAAAACCGAGAAATTTGTTAAAGAGTATGAAAAGAATGGTGTAGGTAGCATGTTCTGCATGATTAGTTTCTTTTATTACTTGAGTTTTCAATTATTCATTCACATTATATAATTAATATAATATCAAAATTTGTAGTTTCTAATTGGACACTTGTTTCAAGGTACTTCAAGTAATGTAATTTTTTGAAAGTTACAAGATTACAATTTGTTGCATTGAAATTAATAATTTTGAATATTCATTCAAAGTGTAACATTAATATCATTCGGTAACACTATTGATATACGTTTCATTAATTGAATTTCAATGATGTTCAGTAAA